TGAGACTAGTGGAGAGCAACAGTTTTTCCTGCACTGGGAAAATTCAGAAAAAAAGGATGGGGAAGAAAATGAAATCGAAAGCTGGTTAGCAAGAACAAGCTCTTTTTGTTGGAGAAAGTTTTGTAGGAATATGAAAAACACAACGGTTGGGGAAAATCCGCTTTAAGGGCATCTGTAGAAACTTTAAAAAAGGAAATTTAGTTGAAACAAGAACTACCGATTGGGATTGTAAAACATAGGAAAGGAATCAAAAACCAAAAAAAAAACTTTAAGAAAAAAAACTATATAAAATAAAAACTACTTTTATAATTAAGTGAAATATTCCCAAATAACTTAGTGTATTTTTCTGAACTACTTAAAAAAGGCAAACTACACATTTACAATATTGAATGTACATTTTTGTATGCTCCAAAAGAAACGAAATCAACTGGAAGAATATTATTGTAATGTCAATCATTATATTATGCGCCCTTTTATAAACTATTTTTGCTTCATTGATTTTCCTTGGAGTTCTCCACCGTATATGTATGTATATAAGATTCAACAGGCCCACATTTTTCGGGACACTTTCCATTCCTTTTCTTTTTATTTGACTTAAATAAATACATTCAAGTGAATATGGCGGTGGGTGTCTGTGCCACGTTCTTTATGGTAAAAAGTTCAGGCCGTCAAGAAGAAGTCGAGTGGGGTAAATATATGTGTTTGTTCAGACACACTCGCACCCAAGTACGTATGTACATAATTTAGTGAACTTGAAACTTGCCTCCTGTTCGTCCTATGGCATATATACATATATATTTGTATATCGGATGTTAAGGAGCTGGCCGAATCGTCGCCCTCTCCAATAAAAACAGAACGAAGAGGAAAAGGAGAAATAAAGGAGGAGCGCAAGGAAATTTCATGCTAAGTAATTTATATCGGCACCTACAGTGGTTGCCAAAAATCTGAAGGCCAAAGCTTTCTTACTTTATTTAATTAAAATTAATTGCTTCGTCCCTGCACAAAATGGCAATTTTCTCCAATCAATTAGGTCAGCAATAATTATTCATAAATTAAACAAATGCCTGGGTACGTACAAAAACTTGTGTACTTGATACAATTTTAATTATTATTTGCAAGCAAAGAAAGATTAAGCATTTGACGACAATTTAATGAATTTTCAGGCTGCAAAATGATTTAAATAAAATATTTAATACGAATACAGTTTATTCGCTCAGAAGAATTTAAAAGCTTGTAAACAATATGAAAAATAAACAAACAAACGTAAATATTTTTTCGTTTAATTTAAAGATAATTTTTAGCAATTTTTTTTAAATAAATTTTAAAAGGAAAATCAGTTACAATTTAAAAATGTTAAAACATTTTTATTTAAACTGAAAATATGCTTGTCATAGACCACAGTTCCTTTATATATGTGGAAAAAACACACATAAAAAGAAGTGCATTATGTGTGTATGACGGCAGCAGCGGCAAGAAAAGCAGTATCAGCTTATTAAAGATTTAAAAAATATTCCATGCAATGCAGAGGAGAGCAGGAAATTGATATGCACTTACTGGGAACACGGAAGTCAGGGGAAAAAGTAAAAATATAGTGAAATAAGAGGGAAGAAGCATAAGGAAGGAGATTCAAGGGAGAAAGGAGGTTGCTGCAAAGTATGCTAAGAATAATACAGTAAATTCCGCTGGTTAATAGCGAGGTACACTGCTAAAAAATATATTTCCAAAAAAATAAAAAATTAATGTTCGCTAGAAATCGAAGGTTTTAAACTTAGTATTGCTTTAAACCCGGATTCTAGTTAGAACTAGGAATTTCTCGGTGTAGAAGAGAAAGATCAAGTAAGAGAGGAAAATATGGAACACAATAAAAAGAAAAATGATAGTGGGGTTCCCCACTTTACGTTTTTTTTTTTGTTTAGCCAGCTGTGTGGTAAATTGAAAGATAATAACGAAGACGGAACCGGATACGGAAAAACAGGTGGGTGAAGTGGCCAAAATGAAGCGCAGCAGAATTTCCCCCACTTCGCATCAATCACACATGGACACTGATTGAAAGCAAATCGCAGGTAAACAAAAGGAAATAATGATGAAGGAAAAACGTAATCGATACGCTTGTTCCATACTCCTTCGAGACGTTGATTAAAATTTGTCACGATATGCAGTGTTAAATCAATCAATTTCAAAAAAATACAAACGTATTAAATTTCTTGTGTATAATTCTAATCGTTGTCAATTTGTACCTCCAGTGAATTTTCCATATTTGAACTGAATTTATTAAACTTCTTACAAAAGTTGCATTTACTAGATTTGTGAAATAAATAAAAAGTGCAAAAATAAAAGACTATTATTTAATTGATAACTTTTATTATATATGAGCATTATAGTTTTCAAAGTAAGAAACTTAAAGAACTCAGCTTCACAATTTACATAAAATAAATTCGATTTTAATATTGACAAACACTTCTTTCCGGAAAATAAAATCAAAAGTGCATGTGAGAGGGTAAATATCGCACTTACCAAAAATGTCCGGCTGTCCACTTACATTTCACAGCCGCAGTGCCACCAAAAATTTGTATACCGCCAGCCTCAAATTACAAAAGCAATTTCATTTTATGGCACTTATCAAACGCTTCACGCAACATAAAACAGCCGGACACTAAATATTTCTAGTTGAGAGGAGCAAAAAAAGTCGCATGCGATATAAACTAGTCAGAATTGCAATTCGCCTGGAATAGCAAAATAATCCTTTTTCCTTTTTCGTCTGGAAAAATAACAGTTGATTGCGTAGGCGGGATATTTGAAGTAGAGAATCATTTGATAACAGAAAAATATAAATTTACAAAAATCTCGACCTTTGTAATTTTTACTCACTTTTTCAAAATAACAAGACAAAAATAAATAAAGTGGAAGAAAACCATTAAATTTTGTATTGTATATTTGTTTCTCTTAACAAGTTTAAGTAATACATTGGTTGATATTTCAAAAACTCTTTTAAACTAAAAAATTGTATTTTTAAAATATTTTTGAGATATTTCTTAACAAGAATTTAACTTATGTTTTAACTAAAAAAAAGTTACTTTATTACATTTTCGAGTCTTTTTTATATTCAAAGATAGCTGCCATATTTCATAGATCATTCGTTTAACGTCCTGCGGTAGTAATTTTGTTAGTCAATGGACCTGCCGAGCGCTTTAAGACAATTTTAAAGTTCTCACTGACTGTATAGTCCTCCTTAAACACCACAACCAGATTCAGTTCAAACTCTAAGAAAGAACGAGGGAGTTAATAAGATATTTTGGTAATAAAACTACAAAAAATTCAGATTTTACAGCTAGTAATTTATTAAAACTTACCTATTTTGAAATTCTTGGTGAGCAGCGTGGGGCAGGTGAACAATCTGGGCAGGACCATATAGATGGGTAGCTCTAATTTGGGCAACACATTACCATCGGCTATTTGAATGGTCTGGATTTCGGTGGCATCCTTGGAATATCCCTCGTCGCATCCACAGGTCTCCACGCGAACCAATTGCATTTCAATGGACTTGATGGCCGCCTCCGTGTGCTGAACAGTGATGCTGCCGGTAATCGGGGTGGTTACGCAGGATTCGCTTCGATCCAGACGTCCTGTGATCAGAAATCTTGGCATTGACAATCGCTCCTTGGCGCTGGCATTCTTCTGAAGCGAATCCGGGCTCAAACTAAAGGGCACCACCTTCTGGGAATCCTCACCCAAAGCCACGGGTTTGTACTGCACGCAGAACTGTTGGATTCTGGTCATGGATTTGCCCAGAAAATTTCGCTTCACCGTGCAATTGAGCTGGTAATTGACGTTGATGAAAACACCATGATAGGTTTCATAAAGAATTCGCGGCTCCTTCTTGCACACCAAAGGCAGTTCGAAGTGGAACTCCGAGCGACCGGCGCTCAGTTTTCCGGGGGCCGATAACTCTAGGCTATTCTGCAGCAAATTGATGGGTTTCACCGAGTTATAGAAGGCATCGAATAGGCCCACTGTCTTGGCACTTAATTGCAGATTAACGATTCCCTCCAGATACAACGTAATTCCTTCGTGTTTCGTCTCCTGCGAGCACTGAAACTGCACGCAGCCCAATAGCATGTCCTGTAGGGATATCAAATTCCGTTAAATAACACTCTAAATCACCGGTAGCATCTTACATTTTCATGGTAAACCTTATTCTCTCTCTTTAATTTAATATCAAAGAGTAGCGAACCCATTTTTATCAGCAAATAAAAACATATGAAACAGCTGATTTATCCTAGGCCGATCTGGCAGCCTTGGTGCCAGCTGTTCAGCAAGTGGGCAGCCCCCAAGCCAACAAAACCAAAACAATCAAATTTTTATATAAGTTTAATTAAAATAATTTTATTTAATTACAAATGCCTCGCAATCTAAATGCCGAACGGGACAATCCCTGCCTGAAGGTATGTTTATTTAGTAAAAATTTAAATTTCATACTAAAGATAATCTCTAAAACAGGAGCAAGAGCTTTCTTTCAAATGCCTCAACAAAAACAATTTTGATCGTGACAAGTGCGAATTTTATTTTGCCAATTACAACAATTGCAAGGAGTTTTGGGTGAGTTCTTCAATTAAAGCTGTTGTCTTAATTAATAATGTTTAATTTTACATTAGAACAAAGTAAAAAGCGAACGGAGAGCCAAGGGAATTGCTCCGTATTTGCCGCCACTGGAAGAACGCGAAGCTATTAAGGCGGAATATATGAAAGGAAAACCTCAAAGCTGATATATTTACTTATTTAAACAACACTTTGTATATAAATTAGTTATACATCAATTGCCAGAAAATGCACAATGAAAAAAACTCCACTTAAAGTCAATAAACTGAACTTATTTTAGTTTTTGTTGTTCCAAAAAGCTCCATTAAATCTAGTTTTCTAAAGAAACAATCTATTTAAAATAGTAGTTAATTTGTGAAAACATTTTTACATAATTTAATTTTAAAATTCTATAATTTTTTAACAAATTTAGCCTAGGCTGTGAATAGCATCGGCGCCCACAATTTTCAGAGCGGGCATGGACTCCTCCAGCATGGACGTGGACAATTCCAACTCCAGAGTCTCCTTGGGATCATCCAGGATTAGTAGCTTAAGTTTCGGCAGGCGATACAGGCAGGCCAGTCCATTGGTGGTGATTTGGGTACCCGAGAGATCCAAGACTTCCAGCTGCGGAAAGCCACCACCCGAAATCCTGTCCAGACACCAGTCATCGAAGGTTTTGACGTTGTGGAAGGACAGAAACTTGAGCGAATCCAGGCAGCGCAGATTCTCCAATCCCTCGTAGTAGAGGACCATGTTGTCACACCTCAGGGCTTCCACTTTATAGCCGGGATCGAACTTATTGGGCAGGTTGAATTCGCCGTCCTCGGTGGCCCGATGCCAGCGCGAATCGTTGACGAATTTGGCGGCGCCACCGCGGTACAGGATGAAATGAGCGGCAGCCAACTCGGCGCCCAGAATCTTGTGTCTCTCGGGGACAAACTGTTGCATGTGCCGCTCGATTCGCTCCTCCCGGTTGTCCCACCACTGCCGAATGTTCCGGGGACTCAGGTCGATGGGCTTCTGCATCATCACAATAAAGTCGGAGGTCTGTTCCGCGTTCGAGAACAGCTTCAGCTTGCTGCTCCAATCCTCCGGCCGGTCGCCAATGGGCGTCCTCCACTTTAGCCTCTGCTTATCGGCGGCCAATTCCGCGCGAATCCTCTTCAAAGTCGCACTGACCTCCGCCTCCTCCTCGCCCGGCTGCACCTGATTTGTGGGCATCGAGGAGGCCATCCGACTGCCACATCTTCGCAAGAAGGGGAATCCACGCGACAGGCGCTGCAACATGCTTAAAGTATGATTTTTGTAAATAAATTTCAGAGGGCTGTCGGATTAGAGATGCGCACGTTACATGATCGCTCGCGTGACTCACGAAGTGATATTATAGAATTGATATTATTTATTTTCTGTAACCATGATTATTTATGAATTTTGATTTAATTTTATAAATTAGATTTTATCTGTTTTTGTTAAAAAAAAACCATAACCCATAGCCACGTGGACTTTTGTTGATTTTTTTTTATATTTTAGTAACAATTTATGCTCAAAAAACGAATTTATTTTTATTTTTAGGTTTTCAAAAATAATACAAATATACAAACCTACACATCTAGAAGACCAAAATTTTTTTAATTGTAAATTTTATAATTGTAATGAATTTGTTTGCCTTAAATTCCCTAATGTATTGTTACGATTTATCGGTCAGATCTAAAGAGTTGTATTTTTAATTTTCAAAAATATTCAATTTCGTGTGTGAGTCGTATCAAATGCGCGGGTGGCATCACAGCAGCTGACGGATCAGCTGCTAGCACACACATTCGTCCCAAGTTGGCAGCCCCAAGCCGATGCGACGCCATTTTGCTTTTGCGTGCTGTCAAACGCTGAATTTCACATTTCCACCACAAAAAGAGAAAGAAAAAGAAACCCCAGACGTCTTTTGTTGAAGTGCGCGAGATACCACCGAAAAAAACCAAGTTAACTCACTCAAATGCTGATCAACCGCCAGCCAAACGATTGAGATCAACGGCAGCCAGGCGAACGCCGCAGAAACCTGCCGAAAATTACGTGAATCACAGGGCAAGGGCAACCCGTGCAATTGGCATTCTTAATTGGCGATTAAACTGCGAACGGCGCGCTGAAAAATGGTCAATTCGTCTGGCAGCGAGGACGGCCAGCTGCGGAGCCCCAACGACGGGCATTATCACAGGTGTGTACTGTTCCTGGGGGTCCTGGGAAAACTCCGAGACTTCGGTTCTCAAATATGCGATTCATGGAAAATTGTTGCTGCATACACACAAAGAGGCGTACATATACACACGAGAGCTGTCAGCGCGGCGGGAATTCCGCCAGAAATGTAGCCAGATTTTAGCGGTATTCCACCGTTGGCATATTTCGCCCACACATACAGCTGCGGTCGCAAAAATAGTATTAAAAAGTGATAAGGATTCGTTTATGTATAATTTTATTTATTTTTTGTTAATGATTTACAAATTGAAAAATATTTATAAATAAAAATCCCTAATCCTTTTCACTTTTTAATCAAAGTAAAAAATATATATTTTTGACCGCTCTCGTACTGGTGCATGTGTGTGTGTATGCAGAGGGTGGACAATTTTCCCCCCACCATCTTTATCTGTTGACTATAACGAATTGTACACGCTAATTCTATAATCTTGAAACGAAATTTGCGTTTGTAAAAAGAACATTCGCCCCCAAAACAAGCATTTATATCACCCCCAACATCCCTTTCGCGCTTGTTTGCTCTCCTTGATAATAATAACAAAAATACCAAGCCAAAAGAAAACAAAACCAATTTATGACGATTAAAAAACCTTATTGAATTTATTGAACCGTTTAATTGACTTGAATTTTTTCGTTGCAAATAGGCCAAAAAGTGTGTACTTGTCCCATGACCGAGGCGCGCGATGGCCAACAACAAAACCTAATAATAATCATAATAAAAAAAAACCAACAAAGCTATTATAAAAACCAAAAAACCAAAATGAAAGCGAAAGAAAAATGTGCAAGCAATATGCAAAATTCGAGTTTAAAACTGTGCACCTGCAGTGTCAACGGCAGACGGGACCGAATCTTCTCAAGCCAACCACACTAATCTCGCTTGACCCGCCGCTGGCTAATTAAATGTGTGTTCCGAGAACCGAGAACAGAGTACCGAATACCGAACACCCGAGAATTGAAATCCGAATCGGAATCTGAATCGAGATCCGATAAGCTAAGCTCCTAAGCTCTCATGTGCTGCTGGCGGTAAATTGTAATAATCTGTAACTCAATTGAATCAAACACACACAATATTGTATACTATCTTTGCTAATGCCTCTTTCCAAGTCCTGTCTCAATGTCTTTCGTGTCTCTCTGTCTCTCAAAAGATATCTCCCATATTCCCCAGCAGGTTGCGCAGTCAGTCGTGTAAGTGTTTGCATTTTACAGCCCTTGGGAGTCTCGGAGCTCCGAGCTCCATGGAATAGTCACGGGATCATCGGGGATCAGGTAAGTAATGTTAATTTGATAGCACTCAATGGTGGGTCGATTTTTTAGATATATTTATGGGAGCAACAAGTAATTATTGGTCAAGATAGTCAATTTTTTTCATTATAAAATTTAGTAATGCAAAAAAAATATATAAAAACACTTGGTATCTTCTGGTTAAAATTAGGAATTATAGTAAACGTTACCTTAAATGCTCAATTTATTTGATTTCTTGATCCATTGATTACTTGTCTCCATCCATGACCGATTTTTAGTTATATTTATGGGAGCAACAAGTTATTATTGGTCAAGATATTATATTTATTTTCAATATAAATTTTTTTTTCAATTTTTCCTTGATTACTTGGCCCATCGATTACTTGTCTTCATGACCGATTTATATTTATGTGAGCTACAAGTAATTGATGTCCAAAGATCTATAAAAGATATTGTATTTTTTTATTAAAACATTGAGTAATATAAAAAAAATCTATAAACACTTTGTAGCTTATATTAAAAATTCTTTATAGCCCATTGATTACTTGTCTCCATGACTTCCAACTTTGTTTATGCATCCACAAATCGACCCACCTAATTGCACTCGCTGCTGCTTGGATATGGATATATAAAATAGCGCCAATTATCTGAGCAACTCCGAACCGATTGCCTCAAATAACCACCCAATAATCCGCTTATGTACTGCACCAAAGTTTCTGTATCTAATTTCGAAAGAATTCCAGAGCTAGCATGGAACTGGAGTCTCTTCAGGCATCCAAGGGCAAGTGTAAAATGTAATCCGAAACACCGACTGCAGCTACGTGCAACCTGGTCAGAGCAGCGCCTGGTCAACAGGGTCGAGGGTCAATCATCGGTCCAGAATCATCAGCAGATGGGACACCACTAAAAGCATGACACCATAATTTTGGACTTTCTCTCTCTTACTTTTAGCCGCGGCGAGGACGATGAGCATGAGGCGGACACCGATGCTCTGTACATACAACCACCGCAGGCCAGCAGGGAATCGGGTTCGGGTTCCAGGCGTGAGAAGAAGAAACATTCCCGCGAACGGAGGCGCCACAAGGAACGCGAAGATCTAGGCCTGGATCGCGATCATCGCTATGAATATCGGAACCGGGAGGAGCACTACCACCATCACCATCGAGAAAGAGGCGGCAATGTGGCAGCCGCATATCCGAAACACCACCTGGGCCACGCCTACCATTACCCGCAGCCGCCGCAGCAACAGCAGCAGCAGCCTTTGCCGCCCGCTCCCAGCTATGCTGCCCACCACCATCATCATCACCAGCATTTAGGCGGAACGAGGGCAGCTCCCCGTGGCGATTACCATTCCTATCCATCGGGCTATCACTCGACCAGTCGCCATGCCGACTATCCCATGGAGGAGCCACCGCGACGCGGCGGCGGTAAATACGCGGAGAGCAAGGATGCGGAGAGCCTGGAACAGGATCTGCGTTCGAGGCTGTTGAAGAAGCGGCATAACTACGTTAAGGACTACGAAACGGAGGAGAACTACGAGCGGGGCGAGCGGCGCAAGGAGCGCGAGCGAACGGGACGCGGCGGTGGCCACAAGCCAAGCCGACATGAACGCGTCATCGAACTGCTGGACAGTCCCGAAACGGAGCAGCACCACCATCAGCACAAGTCGCATCGCAGCAAGTGGAGAGGCGAAGAGACGGAGCAGCAACTCAGCAGAAGAAAGGTGCCCGAGGATCTGGAGTTGCTGGCTCGCAGGGACAAGCTGCTCGCCGCCGAGCGCGACAGTCGCCAGCGAAAGCAGACGGCGCGCGAGGAACTGGAGGCTCGGCGGGAATTGCTACGCGAGCGGAACGAGCACAGCGATGCACTGAGTCCAACGGCAGTGGCCGCCAGCGTAACCGCTGGCCTGAACATTCAAGTTAAGCGCAAGTCCAAGCCGGATGGCTACGAGAAGGAGGTGAAACACAAGAAGCGGCGGGAGGAGGAGGAGATCATCGAGGTCATCCGCGATGATGATGATGAGGAGGAGGAAAGCGAGGAGAGCGACTCTAACGAGGAGGATCACGAGGAGGACAGCGCCGAGAGCGCCACGGAAACGGGCAGCGAAGAAAGCTATGCTGGCAAAAAGAAGAGCAAGATTAAACCGAAGGCAGAGGAGGATGACGAGGACTTGCCCTTGCCCGACAGTCCGCTCAGCGTGGGCGAGCTCTACAAGTCGCCCAAGCAGCGCCAGCGATCGCGCTCGGCCAGCTCCAAGAGCAGTTCCCAGACCAGCAGGAGTAGTCGCTCCAGATCGCGGTCCAGAAGTCAAAGCAGCCTGGAGGATGGGGAGGCAGGAGCAGCTGCCTCGCCCAGCAGCAGCACACGCAGCGAGGAGCGTGGGATGACCCAACAGCAGCAGGCGGAGGAGAAGCCGGAGGAGAAACTCAAGGAAAAGGCACTCAAAACGCTGGAGGAGCAGATTCCCTGCGACGACAAGGGCGTTCCTTTGCCCAATTATTATCCCGGCGTGCAGGGCTGTCGTTCTGTAGAAGAATTCCAGTGCCTCAATCGCATCGAAGAGGGAACCTACGGCGTGGTTTATCGCGCCAAGGACAAAAGAACCAACGAAATTGTGGCCCTCAAGCGGCTGAAGATGGAGAAGGAAAAGGAGGGCTTTCCCATCACATCGCTCCGGGAAATCAACACTTTGCTCAAGGGTCAGCATCCGAATATCGTGACCGTTCGCGAGATTGTCGTGGGTTCCAACATGGACAAGATCTTTATTGTGATGGACTATGTGGAGCATGACCTAAAGTCGCTCATGGAAACGATGAAGAATCGTAAGCAGAGCTTTTTCCCCGGCGAAGTCAAGTGCCTGACGCAGCAGCTCCTGAAGGCGGTGGCCCATCTCCATGACAATTGGATTCTGCATCGTGACCTGAAGACCTCGAACCTTCTGCTGTCCCACAAGGGCATCCTCAAAGTGGGCGACTTTGGATTGGCAAGGGAGTACGGATCGCCGATCAAGAAGTACACCTCGCTGGTGGTCACTCTTTGGTATCGGGCGCCCGAACTGCTCCTCTGCTCGCCCGTCTACTCCACGCCCATCGACGTCTGGTCGGTGGGCTGCATTTTCGCCGAATTCCTGCAGATGCTGCCGCTCTTTCCGGGAAAATCGGAGATCGATGAGCTCAACAGGATCTTCAAGGTAGGAATTTATATAAGCAATTTATTAAGCACAAAAAAATCTACCAACTTTGCTATTTTTTCTATAAAAACTGGTTAAATGGATTTAATTCAAACCAATTGTATATTTTAAAGTGTCATTTAAATAACATCCACTAATTTTTATTTTGCTCTTCTTCTTTGGGCTTAAAAAAAAAAAATTTTAAGTTAAAATGAAAAAAAAAACGCTTCCCAGGGGCGGTTTTTTTTATGCAGAAAAATATGCGACTAATTTAAAACGATCGGTTGAGCCGTTTAGAAATGCCGATGATCACGTACTTTCAAAACGTGGTTTTGAGAAAAACGCACTAAAAGTTTAAGAGGTTAGGGAACTAATTTTAGCATAACTTCTAAAGTTTTTGTCCGATTGATTTAAAACTTTTTTTTTATAATCTTAAAATGTTAATCTACAAGAAAAAAAATTTTAAGAAAAGTCATTTATTTTTTTTAAGACCCTACCCCTTCCTTAAAAAAATCACCGATATTTGACTGTAATTCTTCTTTTTTTTTAGGAATTGGGCACCCCCAACGAGAAGGTCTGGCCCGGCTACACCGAGCTACCCGCCGTGAAGAACATGCTGTCGCAGAACTCTCAGTTCACCGAATATCCCGTCTCGCAGCTGCGCAAGCACTTCCAGGAGAAGACCTCCGAAATGGGACTGTCGCTGCTGCAGGGCCTGCTGACGTACGATCCGAAAAAAAGACTGACGGCCGACGCGGCCCTGAAGCACGACTACTTCAAGGAGCTGCCGCTGCCCATCGATCCCTCCATGTTTCCCACCTGGCCGGCCAAGAGCGAACTGGGCGCTCGCAAGGCTCAGGCCTCATCGCCCAAACCGCCGTCCGGTGGCTCGCAGTTCAAGCAACTGGGACGCGACGAGCCCATCGCCGTGGGCGGGGGAAACAAGCTCTCATCGGGGATCATCACCGGGAACAAAAAGAGCCACGCGGCTGGTGGATCGTCGTCGGCCAGCACCGGTTTCGTCCTGAATGCCGGGATAACGCAACGCCAGCTGGCCATGGGTCCGGGATTCAGCCTGAAGTTCTGATTCGCTGTTGGATTCTCTGTGTGTTTTTAGCCAATTACGATTACTATTAATTGTTATGTATAGTTAGCGATGTAAGTGAAAAATTTCGTTTAATTGTATGTGTAAAAATATTGTTCCATATATAATTTAAAAAGCCATACAAAAGAATGGGGATCGATAAGCGTTTTTCATTGGAAATGTGGAACAATTGGAATTTCTTAGGAGCGGAAAGCAAGTATAGCTTAACAATTAAGGTATTTATTATACCTTTTATTTTGGAATAGTTTGTTGTGTCTTTCACGTTGCTAAGAACTAGAGCCCTGCATGAATTAATAGAATTGAATGGCATAAATTCCGAAATAATTCAAACGACAATTTCTTTTAAAAAAGAAATGGGCATAATTTTGTGGTTAAATCTGCCTGAATTTTATTTACTATGCTTTTGTTCTTAAAAGAAAGCACAAAAAAAAGTCTGTCAAATTCAAAAAATTCATAAAAATTATTCATTACTTCGTTCAGTTCGAAATGAATTAGAAAAACATTCAATTTATTTCACATAGAATTGAATTAATCAAGTTTGAAATTAAAAGATTTACGCAGGGCTCTATTAAGAACACGCCAGAATTAAGAAAAATATTTTATTTTGGCCATTTTCTCAACATTCTATTAATTTTCGCTCCTAAAACGTTGTAGTTACCAAAAATGGGCCCACCCTCTGTTCACTCGCCATGCATCCACACCTGTAACTTTAAAACTTAGCCTAGGGGAAATACTTTAGCTCCATCGGTGGACTGCCTAAGTGGACCACAGATAGAAGTAAGTGCTTTGCCACGTGGGAATGTAGTCTTTCAGGGGTGCGGCCACCATCTTTGCAATTGGCACACTGCTGGCCACAAAATCTAGGATGCGCTCCAGTCTCGTTTTGGTGAAGCTATCGTAAAACGGCGATCGGACGAGGAAGTACAGGATGTTGATGCATCGCCGGCTCAACTCCAGTTTCTGTTGCTTGGACATGAGGTCGCGATGCTGACGATACAGATGGATGCTGTACAGATCGATGGACAGGGCCACCGCATACTGTTTCCAGCTCCTCTGGCCGAACAAACCCATGGCGGCCAAGTGGATAAGGGGCTTGGAGATGTACAGGTACTCGGCTTGCAGCAGTTTCCGCGGGATCTGCGTCTTTGCCGCCTCATTATGGTCGATATGCAGTTTAAGGTCGCGATATTGCAGCGGCGGAGCACCCTCCACCTTGCGAATTACACGACCGGATCGCTTGAGTTGGAAGGTAATGGAGTGCTGGGACTGCTGAAGCAGATCACTGGAGGATTGCTCATCCGCCGACGACTTGCGCTGCTTGCCCAAAGCCCTGCGATTTAAAGAGGCGATGGGCGGCGAGGTGATTATATCCGAGGTGGAGTGCTTCAAGATAAAGAATCGGCCGGCCGCCTTGAAGGCCTGTATTAGCGCTATCACCAGCCATTTGCCGGATTGACCGAAAAGCCGGCGGGCTGATATCTCGATGAAAACCTCGCTGTATTCGAGTGTCGTCAGCGTGACCTTTAGACGGTAGCAAAGTTTCGATTGCAGCTGGATCACCGAATTCTCCCTGGCATTCCGTGCCCGTTCGATGATCCGATCGTTATAGAACACCAGCATGTTGGACAGGGTGTAAACCAGCTCACTAAGCACATTCGATGAGGATATGCGACCTGGAAGGCGGCCAAAAGTTAGCTCTCTAGGATCTGTATAAGCATTGAGTTCAGTTTACCTGCTATAAAGTAGGAGACCCACTTGGCGGTGGTCTCGAAATCTCCCACCACATCCGGGTTTCTAGCCACCCACGCCTCGTACGCCTTCAGCATGTCCTTCAGGGAATCCATTGTAACCGGAAAATATCGCCTTTTGCCCGGAAAACCAAATGAAAGTGAGGAAATTCTGCCTACAGGTAAATCAAATCGGTGCAGCTGTGGATTTCTGGGATTTTGGCTGAGGCGTTAGTGCTTTCTTGCGAGTAATCGGAAGGTGGCCCAAGGTGTTCTTTGTTTTTGAAGTACAGTGGGTATTGGTTGGGCAAAATAACTAAGCTTAGATTACACACAAAATAACAAGATACTTTAAAAAACTTGTATAAATTGATTTTTTTTATTATAGATTCAAAAAGAAGACTTTTGTTATATACTTTTACAATTCAAAAATATTTTAAATTTATTATGTATTTTGACATTAGAAATAATCTTCATGTAATAAAAAATTTTACATATATATGTATGTATCTTGTACTTTTTCGTACATATAAAAATAAAAGCTGCAAGAAATTTGTTCTTCAGACGTCACATTCTATTGTTGTGACGTCATAGCTTCGACTGCACCCGATGCATCGCATTATTTTTCGTGGCACGTGCTCGCTGAACGATTCTACGGTTATATCTCCTTATCAAATAATACATCAGTTCAGTCATCACAAGCTTGGAGGTAAACTTACCTGGAATCCCAATATAAAATCACCGTAATTTTAGATTTACATACACATATTTTACATTCGGAAGACTTACCATTAATTAATTTCATTAGCCACCTAGTAATTGTACTAATATCGACGTCTGGATTATCTGCCACCCACTTCTCAAAGGCATTCTGGATGTCCTCCAAAGAGTACATGGTGTAATGTGTGTCCTCAACCATTTTTTGTCGTTCCTCTAATTGCTCCATATTTCTGTGTAATTTTCAACAATTTGGGTTTCGCAGTATATAGGGGGATTCCCTAAACTGTTGAATTGCTGAATTGTTGAAAAAGGGAACGACCCAAAATGACTCCTGATGAATTTTCAAACAGCTGTTATTTGTTGAAAAATTTCACGGAACTTAAAGCATGTAAAATTTGATTTATTATTGCTAGTTACTGTCTAAAAGTGTTGCCAAGGTAAGAAGAACCACAAATATGCTTTCTAAGTTGATTTTGAAATAAATAATGCGTACTGGTGATACTAAAATGTTACAGAGTTGCCACGACTATTTAAAAAAGGTGACAACTCTGGCTTTTCAGCAATTCAACAAAATTTTCAGCAGCCCCGAGGCTGATGAATTGCTGAAATTTCTGAAAGTTGACTTTGTATGGAACAGCTGATTAACAGCTGACCAAAATTCAACAATTCAGCAATTCAACAGTTTAGGGAATCCCCCTTATATTTCTAAAGATAACTGAGGCCGGCTTCTCTAACGTCACGGAGCAGCTAAAATACTTTCCACCTCACACCCCCACCTCGCGGAATCCCTAACGCCTTAAGGATTTCAGCAGCACCCTACCGTTTGGCCACACTTTTGTTTGGGCGACACTTTTTTTTGCGATCGAATTGCGTCTGAAATCGGGTCGCTCCGTTTTCTGTGGATTAGCTAGGCAAGATTGAATTAAGGGTCGATATACAGATGTCCAGCAACAACACGGACACCGGGGACACGATCATGGCCACGGCGACCGCAGTGCAGCAGGACAGGGACATCGTGGCCGGCGGCGAGGAGCAGTTGCCCCGCGAATCGCTGGTAATATGTAACCCCCTCGAGTTTTTGTCTAATCTATAATCCCGTCTATTCGCCGCAGATAACCACTGCAGTCAGCTTTCTACAGAACACCAAAGTGCGCCACACGACGCTTATCCAGAAGCAGCAGTTCCTGCGGTCCAAAGGTCTCACCGCTCACGAAATCCAGCTGGCCTGCGAGCGGGCCGGCGTCTTCACCCACGACCCCAACAATCCGAATCCCAGTCCGAATACGGTGATCAGCATCGGATCCCAGTTGCAGGCCTTGCAGCCGCAGCCGACGGTCTTCGGCCGGATCCGTGAGATCATCCATTCGGCAGCCCTGTTCAGCGGAGTGGTCTACGCCGTCTACCTCTTCTGGAAGGTGAGTAGTTCGGGGATTCTCAATATTAGGGTACTAGTTATAGATACAAATTAATTAGAACCTTTGGTGAAGGTATTCCACTTCAGGTAGCATATATATTCCATAATTTCAGTTAAATTTTTAGGTTTTTTTGTAATAACTGAAATTATTTTATTTATCTTGAAAAGTTTAAGTTATCTTGAAAAACTCATTAATTTAATCTTATTATCCGTTTTAGAACCTATTCATTAACAGTGTCCAATCTAATTGGGTTATCAGAAAACATGAGAGAGATTGTACCTAGGAATACTCTAGATTGGGGTATAGTTTTTTATAAATCATAACCTAATATATACAGTTTCGAGAATTTACTCCCATAAACCGGAGTGATAGTCCAAAGATCAATATCTCATCTCAAGCTAATGTAAAATATTCTTGAATGACTCTTGAGATATATCAAGGAGCTTCAGTAAATATTAAATATGTAGTTGAAGCATTTAGTAACTACCTTTAAATATTAACTATGTAGTTGAAGTATTTAGTAAATAAATAATGTTTTTCTCACTTAACCCATATTCTTGATCTATTAACTTCAAACTAAGAATTTATGAGGTTCATTTGCAACAGTCCAAAGATCATTTCGATTCATCTAATACCCATACATTGTACATACATATGAAGTGAATAAATCTTAATAAATTTCCAAAACTGTAATATTTTTTAGAAATACATTGCGCCCTACCTGTTTGGCAAGCCCAAGAAGAAGCCGGTCGATGAGGTCCTGGACGACATTGACAAGAAGGTGGAGACACGCACCAATGACCTCAACAAGGAGATTTCGGCGGTCAGGGATCTGATTACCAGCCAGCAGAGGGAACATTCCCAGCAGCTGAACCGCGAATTTAGCAACTTCCGCAGCGATCTGGATGCCATCAAGGGTCTGCTTTTAAATAGGAAGCAATTTGCGGGCCCCGTTGCCCCACTTGCAGTGCCATCCATTCCCGCCTGGCAATTGGCCGGCTCTCCGCATCATCATCATCGGCACAGTGGGTCCGATGACAACGAGAAGGGCGATGATGCTGGCTCCGGATCCGGATCCTCAGAGACCGAGGTGGTCACCAAGAATAGCGACTCCAGCTTGGAGATCATGTAATGCAATCAGAATACGAGGCTGGCTATATAGATAGTAGCATATAGTTAAGCTGCAGAACAGAACGTTTGTAAATTGAGTTTTCCCTTAAATGCCTTTAAGATTTATTGGTTTTTTTGCTTTGCGTTTATAGCATTTAAGTTTTCTTTATAGTCAACAGCTAATCCATATCCAAAAGTACATACACACACTCACATATACACACTTATGCGATACGATGTCTATATAATGTAATAATAAAAAATGTTTACATAATAACAGGTTTGAATTTAAAGAAACTGTTTAATTAAGCGCAAAAATGCTTTCGTGTAGTTTTTGTTTTTTTTTTATCGGTACATACGGGGTGGGAGTAGCATATCGGTTTAGATAATAAATTTCGACTTAGACGTTAATTGGTTTCTAAAAATTTTGCCGAGTGCTACGTTCTATAAATTGGCTAAATTCTCTTTAGTTTGATTTAAGAATATGCCGAGCCGAGCTCCTCAATGAGTTGGAAATGAACTCTTCGAAGAACCCACCCAGATCCTAAATGGATTTTAATTTAATTATTTATTGTGCGGTGCGTAGTTATGATCTTGTTTTAATTACAAATTTGGTTCTCTGCGCTTTCCGTATTTTGCTTCATCTTTATTTAATTTCCTTTACTACTTACGTTAATTGTTATCGATTTGTACATATGATAATTTAGTATTCAAATATATTGTTTGCCGTAATTTTTCATTTAAAGTAAATGTATTCTAGTAAGTTAATAGTCTCACAAAAGATTGTTAAGGGCTTCATAGTTCGATTTTATATGCGGGTGTTTTTGCTTTATGAATGGAAATACCCTGAAACAAGGATAGAGAACCACATACCCCTACCCATACTAAGTATGCAATTAGAGTCTTTTCGGGTAGCTTGGCCCTTGTTTGTTGGGTATACTCGTTAGACAAGATAAACAGCGGCCAGGCCGGGATTTATCAGCTATTTCAAATTAAATATAACATATTTACAATTAATTATATCTTGCGATTGGGGCAATACCAGCTGCCAAAGGCCGAGCACTGTGTACATTTGAAAATTAAAGCTTTGACAAAAAATAGAAAGAGTGTGTAACAAAATGTTTGACCATAATTGGATGCCAAATTTTAAAGGCCTGATTGAACAATGTGTAAATTTAAAAACTAAATTTTTGTAACAAAATATTGCGTGTTTTCCCGATTCTAATCGAAATTATTAGAAACGGAATTGAAAAATTGTACTTTTTTCAGAAAAATTGAAATTGGTATTCGGTTGGCTTCCGTTTTTCATTAGAATATATAAAAATTAAACATCATTTTTATCGCCTTTGATTCCACAAAATTAAACCTTGGAATTGAAAACATGACCGGTCATGTGACATTAACCCCAATCTGTTTTCATCCCTCTCAACTGTATCCCTAATTTAAGCTAACAGAAAGTGCACAGATAGTGTGGACAAAATAGAACCATGTATGGGTAGCAGGATCCCTCAAAAAAGAATCCCCTCTAGACGGCTGAATTGATGACCGCCTGCGTGGAGGCGGAGCTACTGATGCTATTGGCCTGGCCAAATGCAGATCCTGCTCCAGCCGTCGATGTGCTCGCCGTGGCCGTAATGCTCACCGCTGCCGCCGTGGCCGAAGTCCCGCCATCCGGATAGCCACCCGAGGCAGGAGCAGGCGAAAGGGACATCGTCGAGGAGGAGGGCGAGGAGCAATCGCTTTGCACACTCATCGTGGGTGAGGCGGCCACCAGATTGCTGCTGCTGCTCGTGTTGCTGATGGTCATCGGGAACTGTGGCGGCGGATTGCCGGTGGGCGTGTGCGGGGACAATGGCGACATCGAGGACGATGTGGTGGCCGGCGAGGGGCAGCTGCTTGCACTCGTTGTTATGGCTGCAGAGGAGCTGTTGCTGTTCGTACTGGAGCTGATTGTCGAGGCCGCCGTTGCAGAGGATGGCGGCGTCGCTGGCGATTGTTGGCTGGGATTCACGCCAGCCGCTGCCGCCGCAGCTGCAGCCCGTTCGCGCTCCCGATCGCGCTGCGGCCGGAAGGCCTCGCGCAGCGCCTCAACGCGAATCTCGTTGGGTCCCCAGCGCGCGTAACCAGCGCTATTTTGCAGCCACACCACCTGCGTTCCCTGCATGCACTTGATCAGCACATCGGATCTGCAAGAAAATCAGAAGTAGTAAATAGGGATGGCTTGGAAAAGCCATAACTACGACTCACTTTTGCAACATGTGCTGGTAGCCGTGCCTGTACTCGTGGGCCATGCCCAAAACCACCATGGAGCGACGCTTGTACATGCTCTCGTCCAGCTTGGATATGCTCTTCCACTCCGGCAGAAAGACAATGAAGCTGTAGGTAGATAATCAGGGTTAAAATTCAATCTAAAAATTAATTTAATGTAATCCCACCTTAGCGGCTCCATGGTGTCGGTGAGTAGTTTGTCAATGTGCAGCAAAGAGGCCTCGATCAACTCCTCGCAATGGGGAGGATTCACTTGGAAGGACCCGGAAACGGGCTTGAAGTCCAGAAAGGGGCTGCGAATAGGTAAAAGTCAGTTAGTTACAGTTATTTACAGGTTTCGGAATTTAACACACATGTTAAAAACATGTAAAATTGTATTTTACAGTGTGAGCAAAGTTTTTGACAAAAGTGTTAAAATGTGAAAAATAATTGTTAGCTCACTTGTGTTTTTTACACAATGTGTTATTAACACGACGTATTTTTTACACACTGTGTTTTTAACACAAATGATAATTACATTTTATGGACATTAACGAATCGAAGGGAAAATGAAGAATCAATATTGGGCCAGGATATCTTAATTGTTATTTTTAGCCGTTTCAAAGCAAATATAAATTTTTTCAACTACAGAAAACCGTGAGTTTTTTAGTTCAGCATATATTTTAATGTCAAAAACTCATTGTGTTGGAAACACGTTGTGTCAATAACACGTCGTGTTAATAACACGTCGTGTAAATAACACAAATAAACTGTGTGTGTTATTTATGTTTTTTTTTACACACATGTCAATAACTTTTTTGAACTTAACACTTTGACATTTAACATGTTAATAACTAAGTTTTTTACAGAGTGTGTTATTTTCCAAGCCCTGATAATTTACAATGCATTGAATGCATCACTTACCCCCTGGAACCGAAGTAAGCATCCGTGTCGGCAAACGCCGAGCAGTACTGCCGAAAATAGGAATTGAATGGCGAGGCGAAGCACTCGAAGCTGACGCCAAAGTGCCGATGCAGGCACTCAAACACGGGCACCGGCAGTGCCGCCTGGGTGAGCTCCGCCTCCTGGGAGGAGTTCAGGGCATTGCCCAAAAAGGTCTGATACCTTTTGAGCAGACACCACACCCGACCAATGAACAGATCGAACTTCTTGTCATCGAAACAGTTGTGCCGGTAGAGCTGCTCCAGCTTCTGCAGATAGGTGAGGTTGATGTACTGCGCATCCGGCTGATTGATCGTGGCAGGCGTGTACTTGATGATCATGTGGTCGCGATCCTGTAGATACTCGATCGTCGGCATCCGCGGCGATGGGACGGCAAACTGTATGGGATAGCACCAGACCTTCTTCAAGTGCGGCGGTGGTGGCGGCGGCGTTGGTTCCGGTATTCCGTGCTCTTTGAGCAGCTGCAAGTGCCGCTCCCTGATCTTCCTTGCATGATCAGCCGACAGATGGTAGATCTTAACGCACAGCGTTTCCACCGAACTCTTGACGGTCTCCACCAAATGCGGTTCACACTGCCGCTTCAGGTGGGCCAGACGATCCTGGAAATCCTCGTAGCTGGCGCCCACTGTGCGCCGCAGCCACTGGAACGTGTCCTCCACATTCCACTTGACCACCTTCTTCGATTCAGCTGGCGCCGATCGGGATTCAATGATCTGCTTGGCGGCCTCTGCATAGCGGGAAAGCTGCTTCCTGGCATCCCCGGTGAACTTGGGCTTCACTATCTTGATGGGTATATCCGACATGATTTCGCGATACATGGAGCTCGAGATCTCCGGAAGGCAGCTGCTGGGCAGCAGCGGATCACAGCCGGTGTCTATGACCTTGCGTTCCATGAGCCAGCGATTAAAGGAATCCCTCGGTGCCTTTATGTTCTCCCTGCGCATGCATAGATCCTCGTAGGTTTTCAGCAGCTTCATGGTAAATGCGGCCCTTAGAGCCTCCACCTCGGGATGCGGCTGAGGCAGAAGGGTGGGCGGTCGCTCCACAATCACCGCATTGGTGCACACCTCCAGATCCCAGGGTCCAGCGAGGACAAACTTCTTCATCGGCGGCCCACCGCCCACATGGTGCTGCTGCTGATTGGGATGGATGTGCATGTCGTCCGACGGCCGCCGCTTCAGGTGATGATGGTGGTGCTGCTGATGCTGTTGCTGGTGCTGCGGGGTCATGGGCGTGGGGCCACCGGCATGGCAGATGCCCAGGGGATCGGTGAGCGGATCAAAGGGCCGTGTGCCGGGCATCTCCCACAGCGATTCGCCGGTGACCTTGTTCCAGTAGTATGGCCTATTCTCCCGCTTGGACCAGAACTTGCGCCAACCTTGATTCACCAGCTCGGCGGTGAGTTCCTCGCCATAGCCGCCGGGTCCCAAAGTCGGAGGACCCTGCGGCGTGTGTGCCATGCTCTCCAGCGGCGAGGGAGCATGCGACTTTGTGGGCGTCGAGGGGGAGGAGCAGCTGGCCACCGGTGAGCTGCCCGCCCCGCTGCCCGGATTGTCGGGCTGTATGGGTCCCGTGACCGTGGGAGCTCCTGCCGTGGGCGATGGGGCCATGTTGTTGGACGCACTCGCCGTCAGCTGATCCCAGGCACTCTGCGCCGCGGAGGAGGCGGCGGCGGATGATCTGGTGGCCATGGGCGCCGGCGAGGTTCCCAGGCCCGGCGTTCCCGTCGACGCAATCACCGAGGACAGCAGACCCTCCTGCCCGCCGCCCAGGTTGTGTAGGTTGCTGTTGTTGCTGCTGTTAGCTGCCATGCTGCGGGAATATTTCTGCAAGAGAGAGGTAAACAAAAACAAATGTTTTCAGTGGGAGAGGGAAGAGAGCAGAGCGGCTGAGAGTGATGGCAGGGTGGGTGAGAGGGGGGAGAAGAGAGCGAGGCAGAACGAGAAGAAACGATAATCAATTCTCAGTGATGGCACACCTGGATTTATCTGTAGCTATATATTTCTATGGCAGAGTGATAAATCAATAGGAATATGAAAAGAACTAATTAAAACAATTAATAAATGTGTTTTAGTGAGGTATTAATATTTAATAAATTAAATCAAATTATGTGAAACTTTTAATTAAATTGTAAAACAATAAGGTTAAATTTTTTTAATTAAATAAAAATGAATAAAATTTTAGATTGATTAGAGCCCGGACCTAAAAATAATTTAACCAAATATGTTTAGTGTTACTTGAGTACTTTTTAAACCCAATTAAGGTCCGTTTCCTCGTCCGCCTGTTAAATTTAAAGTAAACTTTAAACTCTGATTTCCCACACGATTTTAAGGTTTTAACCCTACTTTAAATTTAACAAACGGACGAGAAAACGGCCCTAAATCAAATATTTTACAATAATAATAATAAATGTAGTAAATAAAATACTACATTTTGAAAAAACATCTTAAGAAATTCAGCCTTAGCCGGAAAATAGCTAGGCAGGCGTTGCCATCGCAGCAGATAATGAAGTGAGCGCGCGTCGGAATCGAAGAAACCTAAAACCACCACCAGACCTCTGAGAGCTATAACTGCCGTTAGTCGGCCAGTCCGCAACAGACTCTCAGCCGAGCGAGATCGGAGATCGGGGGCGCGCTAGAGCGCTAAAGTCGGAAGAAATGCTGCGTGGGGATTGTGGGGAGTAGCGAAAATTGGCAATAAAACTAAGACTGTAATATCCCCGAAAAGCAGAGAAGTCGGTTCCCATAGTCAGGAAACAGTAATTTCGGCCGAACCCCACAAACCAAAAGGAAACCAAGGAGAGAGAGGCGCCGCGCATGAGCGAGAGAGCTGAAGAGAGCGAGTAGGCGCTCTCGCGCTCCCGCGAATGAGAAATCAAAACAAATTGCAAAAGAATAGAGATTTTCTGCCTGGGTTATGTGTATATGTTTTGACGAGCGTGTACCAAGCGTATGCGCACCGCCACAAGCAGAATAAAAAATATACAAAATTATTTGCTGCACTCGCACACACACACTCACGCTGATATTCGCACACACAAACGCCCACACGAAGTGCAGGGCATATTATGCACGCCATATAAACAATTGCGAAAAAAAAATTACACTTGGTTTCGTGGCCCCCGACGGCTACGTCATAGCACTAAAATAATGGCGCGCTTTTTTTAATGCACCCACAACAACAACTCTCGCAGCGGAGTCGCTAAAAAATTAAAGGAAAAAAACATAATCAATTGGGGATTTCGCAGCGTTTAATCAGATTCGAGGGGAGTCCGCTGGACAGCGGGGTAAACAAACAACATTCTGGGTGCAATGAAAATTTCTCTACACTTTCTTTTTTGCACCCACCAGAGGCACAGGCAGGCACATCAATATTTCCCATTTTATATACGCCTGCTGGTGCTGCTGCTGCCTGGCATCGTGTGGCTGTGCTCGCAACGCCCTGAAACGCCACAAAACTCACCTAGTTTCAACTATCCTAGTCTGATAAGCACGCGCTACGTGTTTGCAAACATTTAGGCGTGCTCTGGACGTAAATATTCCCGCGATTTTCTATGCAAAATTATAAATAAGTTCTTCTCAAATTTTCAGCGACGAAACTTGGGGCAGTCGAATCGAGATGGCATTGCGGCGATAGGCGGTGTGCCAGAGGTGGGAGCCATCGATTGGGGAATATCGATAACATCAGTGGGTGTATTTGCTAGATTTTGAAAATTATACTTTTAAATTTAAGTATTTTTTATTTTTGGAATGTTTAACAACTGATTAACTTTAATTTATCGTCTGCAGTTTTAGACAAATTTCTATGCTAATGTTGAGATCAGGTTTGTATCGGTTAATTAGCCGCAGCAGGTTATACTTCTTCGCCTTGGAGTTGTTCGATTCCAGTTCGTACAAAGTCGAAAGATTGACCAGCAAGCTCTCGTTCAGTGACTTTTGGGGATTCAGGTTAATAGCGCGTTCGTACAGGTTGATAGCATCCTTTAGCTTTCCGGCGTACAGAAGACACACTCCCATATTGTTCAGGATCATTGTATTGCCGGTATCCAGGTGCAGAGCCTTCTGGAATATCACATAGGCCTCGGGAAAATCGTTTTTGGCCACAGCTATTAGCCCTTTGTCCACCAGGTCTCTCAGATCTGGCGAGGAGTTTCTAGAATGGAATAAATTCAAATGAAAACGTAATCTTTTTGGTTTTGCTAGCCACTTACATTTCCCGCAATCTTCTTGAAACGGCAAACTTTTGTTCTGCTCCAAAAATATCACCAATTTGTAGGTAAATGCGTCCCCAAGCCGAATACAATGATCGCTGGTCCTCCTTGCTCAAGTTAGAGCGCTTCAGAAGGGTTCCCTCCATTATGTCGTCTATCATACTGAATTTCTTCATCTAAAAGAAGAGAGTTATTAATAAATTTCCTTTATATTTATGTAGACCTACCATCAATCCACAGTTGATGATTGAATGCAAAACCCTTTCACAACGCCTCTGCCAAAATTCCTCGGCCGTCTTGTTGCGCTGATTTGAATAGTGCTCCTTGATCTCCCTGCTGGTCACATGGAGTTCCGAGAGTCTGTCCAAGGCGATATGCGGTTTACCCAGATAAATGGGCAGCTCGGCCAGCAGGAGGCGGAACGAAAAGCAGGCAATGGATCCGCTTTTGCCGCTGTACATCTCCGGATAGAAGTCGTAGAAGACGTCGGCACTTCTCAGCTGGCCAAAGGGCTCAGCCTCAGTGTTCAGCAGCTCGAACTCGCCCAGTTTGGCGAGGAGCGCGAGGCGGGTGAACCACAGCTGCAGGGAGTGCGGCGAGTGTTTGGCCGGCTGACCGGATCTTCCGTAACCCTGGCCATAGATGGTTAATAAGCGGCCAGTTAGATTGACAGCAGTGCGATAGCAACCGGCATGAATCAGTGTTCTCAATCCGCGCTCGTCCTGTGTGACGTCATCGACTCGAAGGATTTTGCGGTGGGACAACTCGGCTTCTCCCAAATGTTGGGTCACTGCTACGCTGATGGGATCGGCCTGGAAAGGTAAATAGTGCCGTAAGTGATGGGTAGTCCTTTAGAAATTATGAAGATTTCTTACCAAATCATTTTGCAGGTGAATTCCCGGCATTATGAGTTTGCCCGCCTCGTTTTCCCGCGGCAACTCCCAGAGATTTCTCACCTCATCGGTGACTTTTATGGAATCCTCGCCCGTCTCAGGTGTCTCAACATATTCAGGTGGCTGGAAAAATCCGGTGAAGGTGCTGGACATCATGTTAGTGCCGGAAGTGGAACTGCTGTTGTTGCTAGAAGCACCACCTTCTGCTGGCAAGTCCTTGGACTTTGGTTTACTAGCCAGCTCATCGAAGAAACTGGGCGGATCGTTTGCAAAATATTCGCTTATTTTATTTGACATGTTTCCGATAACTTTGAATGTTTTTCCGATAACTTATTGGAGATGGCACTATCGTTGCTGCTTAAGCGATGACTATCGGGTGTGAGTGGCGCCAATAGATTACTATTTTAAATCAATTGAACGAAAAAATTATCTTTGAGTCCATAGATACATTTTCGAAAGAGGTAATATTTTCTAACATCTATTTTAAATTAAGTTCAGCTAAGTTCTAATAAGGTAATAAATAGCCACGGAAAAGTTAGTTTTTGATTTTAACAATAATGAAGTTATTATTAGGTATAACAATATAAAATTAATACCCTTTACTTAACTTAGATATTAATAAATTAAATTCGACAGTATAAAAATACTAAATAATAATAAAATTACAGGGTACTTTCTGTATCGTGACTGGCATGTCAATGCATCTTTGGAAAAAGGGGCCACACTTACATATGCTATCGATTGCCGATAGATGATGGATTGCAAGTCTCCCATATCTATCAAAAGCGCGTGAATGTAAAAAAAAGCTGAAGCCGAATTTTTAAATCTTACTTGATTAAACAAAATCTTTAAAATGTCGAAGTCTAATTGCCGTAAGTACTACAAATTAAACTATAGATCAATTTATACATACCCATGGACTCAATTCACAGGAAAGTTCAGTCCTCCACCATATTCGGGTGAAATACAATGGACCGATGCCAAAATCAAGAAAATTCTGGACTTCGTAAAGCGGAATGAGGAATATGAGGTATTAACAAAACCTTATTACATATTCGAGTTTAATTTTATTAAGGTGTATATTGTGTTGTAGATGCCCTGTGCTAAATTATATTATGAAGCCATGATGCAGGAGACTGGAATCAAAGGCTATTGGCAGAATATGAGATGTCAAATGCGATTCCAGAAAATGACGCTATCGACAGCAAATAAGTGGATGTCAACTTTTAAGCCAAATGACAAGAAAGGTAATTGCTCTTTTCTACGTAAGTAATAAATAAAATTCAGTTAATTTAAATAAATCAAGGCTTGAAAATGGCATATTGGAAGGTACAAATATAAAATAAACAATATGATAAAATATTGTTATTTTTATAAAACCTTAAAAGTACCACCAGTCTCTGGTTTATGCGACCAACAGCTCTATCATCCCTACATAACCCTATAAATTATATTGAATTTTCAGCCCCTTACTGCTTGTGTCCATACTATGATCAGTTGGTGGAAATATTTGGTTCTGATTTCGAACTTGTAGAAATTCGGGGTGACTTAAAATACAGTACTTGTTACTCACCCGGTGAAAATGAAGACACCAGTGTGTCTGTTATTGTTGAAAAGGGGAAGAAAATTAAACGCAATTCGACGGAGAATGGAGATGGTGCCTCTGACCGGAAAATCCCAAGGAAGGAAACCCACTTGGAGTTAGCTAAATTGCAATTTAAGGACGAAAAATTTGAATGGACCAAAGAGAAGGAGTACATAGCGCTACAAATGAAGGAAAAAAAAATTGATAATGAATTGTTTTTGAAAAAACTAGAACTGGAGCACAAGAGAGAAATTGCCATGTACGAGATTAAGATGAAATACAGTCCAGAGATATAAATGTATATTAATATCCGTTACTCAATCTATTCTCAACTAAACATATAGTTATTGAAATTCTGAAGAAGTTGATTGGCGATTTTTTAAAATAATTTTTAATTGTTTGGAAAATGTTATGTATTACGGTATTACTTACTATTATTTGAAAAAGACATTTGATTTAATAAGTTTAGTACTATGTATGTATAAGATACTATTTCATTTTTTACTGTATTGAAAATTACTTTGATGCTAAGAGAATGCAAATGAATAGAAAATGATTGTTTTAGGAAAGAACCTGACAATACACACAAGTTTTTAACAACATTTATATAATATTCAGTATAAACATAATGACTTACCTGTCTTCTTAAATAAAAATCACAAACATAAATTTTGTTAATCGAATTTATTGATCTACTACCATTTGTTTATTATTAGTATTGTACAATACATAAAGCAAAAATTAGTTTATTCTAAAGCTAACAAAGATGTGCCATTTGATGACCAGTTTGCCGTTTGCTTTTGTCCTAACATTAAAACGCACTACGCTTTATTTACACGAAAAAACAGCCTCGCATGGAAGGCAGTTTATTGCCCATTGAAAATCGTTTCGGGATAATAGCTAGGGGCATTGAACATGCGCGGAAAGCCATTCCCATCCAATTGGCCCACAGGCAGCACCGACATAATGTCACTGAAATTAAACAAATATTATATTTATTAGGTATGTTTTGTATTTTATAATTTATGATATTTATTCAGTAAAGGTGGCAAGATGAAATATCACACAAGTTCCAGTTAGAGCCCTGCATGAATGGATTCAATGAATTATTTTGAATTTTTTTTTATATGAATGAATTAATTAAAATTTTTGAGTTTAATAGAATTGAATGAATGAGTGGCATGAATTACGAAATAATTCAAAATGCAGTTAACATTGATTTGTTAAAAATTGTACACTTTTTGTTCTCAAAATCTGGCTAATTCAAAAAATTCAAAAATAAATGATTCGATTTATTCAATTCGAAATGAATTAGAAAAACATTGAATTTATTTTACATAGAATTGAATTAAACAAATCAGAAATTTCATTGCACACTATGATAAAACAAAAATTGAATGATTCACGCAGGGCTCTAGTTCCAGTGATCTACTACATTACAAAATATTTAGGAATATAATATTTTCATAGTTGGGATCCACTAACTTAGAAGCTCTTGAAGGTCCCATTAAATATCGAAATAAGTTGAATAATATATTTTTCTAACTCAAAGACTCCATTTTATAAGTTTCCGTTGTGATCCCAAGATGGTTCTTGTTATGGAAGTGCGACTGTGTGTTTTTTAACAGCTTAAGAGAACACATTCACTCCACTTGTGAGTTCGAGTGTGGTATGTGCGGCATGGTGTGGCATGCTGTATGTGCTGCAATTTGACGCCCGTGGCGAGGGATGCGATCGAACAGCGGGACTCGTGGTGCGATGAGGGGCACATGCTACACGCATGCGCTGCGTTAGGAGCCGGCCACGTCTCGGGTCCCTTGGCTCTATAAATATGCAGAGGACCGTGCAAGGAGCCGGCCGAAATTGGACATAAAACACGCTCAAGTGGGCGGACTGGACGCACAAGTGCTTTACGGTCACTTACAAACGATTTTTAATGCCAATTGCAAAACAATTGATTATATATTCGTTCGGATTTCGGAGTTCGGTTCTAGGGCGAAACACGCTCAAGTGTTGAATGAATTGTTTTACGAGTTATGAGGAAATGGAAATGAGAATGCCGGTTTTGGGTTCGCCCTTTATACCAAACGACTTTTTTCGTTCTGGAGTTTTTTGAAGAAAATCTAACAACACTCGAAAGGGAAATTATTATGCATTAGCAGTATAAATAACAGACGAAAGTGTCGTAAATTTAACCATAATTACTAGACATCAATTTTTAAATGAAAACGATTCTTTTAAAGACGAATTTTAGGGATCTTAAAGCGATTTGGCTTAAATGTAATTATGATTTTATAAAAATATTTTGTAGCCAAAACAAGTTGTTGGAAGTCGTATTAAATAAAACGAATTCACAAATCGTTCGATGTATACCTCATAATTATATATTTCAAGTTTAAACAATAAGATCTTTTTTAAAATTTTTAAAGCCATTTTGTTCTTGAAAATAGGCCAAGAAAGACGATGATTTTATTGCCTAAAAACAGAAATAAAATTAAAAAAGTAATACAATTTCAAGCAAGATTTGAAAGATTTCTAAAATCCTAAAAAAAATGTTCTAGTTCTTTGACATCAAAATATTTGAAAATAAAATCTTATTGTTTGAAATATTTATAAATGTAATATAATAATTATATTTTTATAATTTTTATATTTTTCTTTAAAGTCTAGGTCAACTTACGGTCTCTGCTGGGGCGTGCGATCCCTTTGGCGGCGGTTCTTGAACCAGTTGGAGACCTGGGTGAGCGTGAGGCCGGTCTTCTTGGCCAGCGTCTTCTTCTCGTCGGGAGTGGGATAGCGATTGGTGAGGTAGCAGTCCTTGAGGGCGTTCCGCGACTTCTCCTTGAAGCAGTAGACCGTCTCCTCGCCATCCCAGATCGTCTTGGGCAGTGGATACTTTTTCCGCAGTCGGTACTTGTCCACCGCCCCGAGGGGACGACCGCGCACCTTTTCGGCCTCCTTGTAGTGGGCCTTGAACCAGAGATTCTGCAGATCGACGTGGTATTTAATGGAGAAGCAGTGCGTCTCCAGCAGGTTGTAGAGCTCGTGAAATTGGCCCAGATTGTAGGCCACCATGGCGCGGGCTCGCAGGACACTCTCGTTGGTCTTGAAGAATTCGCTGGGTGGCAGGCTGCAGAGGAAGGTGGTCAGCTTTTCGATGTCGCCCTTTTGCTGCAGGGCCTCGCACATGCACTGGATCTAAAGAAATCATTATAAATATATTTTAATTAATATAAAATTTATTAATAAAATTTTTTTTTTAATTTAGAAAATATCCTTACCTGATCTGTTGAGAACTGCAGCATCTTGGCATCGATGGGAAAGCTGCTTACTGCGGACATATTGTGTGCCGCTGTGAGATTCGAGATGAGGTGACCACCACTGCCGGGATTGCCGCCCAAACCACCACCAGCACTCCTTTGCGTGGTGTTCCCATTGAGATCCCCCAGATTGCCACCGCTGCCGTTCTCGAATATTATGCTATTCAGGCTGGGATAGTGGGTGGGCGTGGTCGAGGCGGTGGGCGGCGGCGACTTGTCATAGTCGTTGGTGATGTCCTGGAACCGCCTCTCCAGCAGGTGATCCTTTTCCGCCCCCTCGTAGGGTGCAAATTTATCCAATTGCAGAACTGTTTTGCACGAGAGGTTGCCGCGATAACCTGCAGATTACAAAGGTATAAATTATACATATACTCAGAAAAAAATCGCTCTTAATTTTAGAAAATCTCCCGTGAATTAAGAAAATTGTTCTTGATTATAGACAAATTTTCTTAAGTTTATGGAAATCCGCCATAAATTTTTTTTTTAAATGAATCTATATATTCTTTAATTTATATTTAAAATTCTATAAATTGTAAAAGTTTTCACCAAGATTGTCTAAGCAACTGTCATCAGAATCTGATTATACACCAGATAAGCTAACCATAATCTGATTATACCCTAGAATAGTTCTTTTGCGGTTCTTTCTCACGTGCCATTTCGGTGGTCAATGAAAAGACCCCCCACCTTCCCTCAGGGGACCCCTAAATCGAAATGTGACTAATCGAATACCCGACATGACCAAAACGATCGTTGTCTTTCGACACCTCAGACGGGGACTGCGAGTGTGGATCATATATTTGAGGCCCGAAAGAGACGTCAAGCAAATAAATAAATACGATATGGCTTACATACATATTTGCACGAGTAAATGTGTGTGGATATGCAGTTGTGAATATGTAAATGTTATAAAACATAATTCATTTGATGGTGCATTTGTTGAATAGCTTGTCGAATTTTGAGTGCCCTTTATTTATAAGGGATATATTTTTATGGAGGAAAATGAAGGTGATTTTAGACTATATATTGGTTATAATCTTATAACAAATTCTAAAAATAAATTAAATTTTAGGAAAATACAAAATAATATAATTATTTTTACAAAAATATTTTTGAATAATATTGAACAAGCTAAATATATAATATAAAATTTAAATGTAAAATATTTAAAATTTAAATTACAGAATTAAATGTTTGAGAAATTAAAAGTTCTATTTATATTTAATTAATATGAAAAAGGACAATCCACATTTCAAAATATATAAGGAAATGCCATTTTTTTTCGAAAGAGAGTAACTTTTAATTTTTTTTGCATTTTACAGGAAACGAAGACACTCCGTGTGAAGTACGAAAGAAAACTGCATAACCCCATCATGCACCCTGTACATGCAATCCTCAAAAATGTGTGCTCCTCAGCAGAATAAAAGTCACAGGCTTTAATTGTTTATGCAGCGCCTCATTGACGCCTCTGTCCCGAAACACGATACTCGCGGTCTTGTCTCTAGACTCTTTGCACCGATAAGACTAGACCTAGTTGGATCCGATTTGGATGTGTGTCTATGGATCTGGTGGCACTCACCAGCATTGGGAAGGAAGAGCGATCCGTAGGCCATCGGAGAACTGAGGTTGTCCTGCTGGACAGCCGAGTGATCCGAGGATGTGCCGCCGGAACTGGTGGAATCCAAGTCGCCGCTAATGGAGACCGATAGATTGTTGGCATCCATGTTCTTTTCAAACATTATCCAGCGGTTTTACTGAACTAAGTTCAGTTATTTTTGGATTAGTTATTAAATAAATTTATGAAGATTTTTTTACTGTTAAAAACTTTCACAATTTTAATTTATCACTTTACAATTTTTTGTAGTCTTTGTAATACATTATTATGCCAGTTTCATTATTTATTTTACACTTTAAAATTATTGTTATTTATTTATTTAAAAAACTCTGAACTTCCACAGTTTGTTTCAATGTTCACTTCAGATTATTTTTAAATCACTTATTTAATCTCAATTATTAATCTTGACTGCCGTTTTCATTTAATTAAGCACTTATTTTTATAATATTTTTTTTAACATTTCTTTTTAGATTTAAGTAGATTTTCGGAAGGATTTGTTATGTTTTTTTATTTATTTTTGACTCGTTGTTTCTATTAGTTTCATGATTTTTTCCACAGTAATAAAGATCAAGTGGTTTTCATTTTTTTTATTTTAAATATGTAATCTTGACTAAAGTTTTTATTTAACTAAGCACTTTTTGTATTTTATTTTGTAACTATTTGGTATGGATATTTATTATTTGTTGACTTGTTGTTTCTATTAATTTAATGATTTTTTGCACAGCAATTTGTTATAATTTTTGAATATATTTTTCGTGACTGATTCCTTTCTTGCGACTTAACGCGGCCGCTCTTGAAACTCGACTGCAAGCCAAAGAAAACTGCATTCCTAGGGTGTGTTTCGTTCCATTCCGTTCCAGTTTCGCCTGCGGAACGGGTGGTTTGAGTGGGAAGGCCACCGTTAACTGGTTGCAATCAGGCCAATTTAGGGGTGGTTCCGTTTCCGTTTTTAGCCCTCGGGCGGTGGGCGTGACTCTTGGCAGCCATTTTGTCCCATTATCTCCCAGTCGTGATAACTTTTTCGCATTGTTCTCTTTTCTACTTCTTGTTGCTATCTAGGGGCAGAATAGGGTCTTGGATTTGGAAACATCATGACCTCATTAGCGTTTTTGAGGGTGTCTAATGAATGCCCGTGTGCTGTTTCTTGGAATTTACATCGGATTTCTTTGACATTGCTTAATTTGCCATGGCGTTAAAAGTTCTCTTTACACAGAATAGCTTATTGAATCGGATCAGAGCAAGATTTACGAATATATATGTATATTTATATAATAAAGTTTTATTTTGGTATTTTAAAACATTCATTAAAAAAATAGTGCTAGACAAATAAGAGCGTTGTTTTATTTATTTATTTATTCTTTATTTGTAATAAAATAGTAAAATGAGCAAAATTATTACATAAAATAAAAGGAAAAAATTCGTTAAATATTATTTTAATATTAGGTTATAAAATATACATTTATCCAAAGTAAAATTTTTAATTTACTTAAAAATAATATTTTAATCTACAGATATTCCTTCTATGTATGCAATAGGTACAAAGTCAGACGCGATGCAATTTGATGCTCGACTGAGGCTGGGATTGGGAAAATTCCTTCTGCTGCTCATCTAATGCGATCAAATTTCAATTACAAAACGCTCCTCTCCTCTCGACTGCATTCAACGCGAAATGGTGTGATGGAATAAAATGAAATAAAAGTGACATGACAAAGGTGACAATCCACAAAAAGGCCAAACAATTGCGTTGCCCCAGGAACAGGAATAGGAATAGGAATAGGAACAGAAACAGGAGCACTCCTCCTCCTCCTTGGATTCTGTTTGTTGACAATGTCGATGGGAATTCATTAAGCGGCAAATTGGGAGGGTTGACGATTTCGTCACACTCGCAAATCCCCTCGAAACAGAGTCCCAAAAACCCAGATTTGTCACAGCCAGCCAACATCATCGGCACCCCGAACATTATTACAACTTTATATTCCCTGTGTTCTTATCCAGGGATCGTTCAGAGGTCACAGGTGTCGAGGGTGATGGCGGATTAGGGCTACTTATTTGGGGTTTATTCAATTTTATTTTTTCTAGCACTTAACTGTTTATCAAAATCTTAAAAGTAAAAAGAATGCAATAAAAAAATGGTTAAAAAAATCTTTATCATAATATTAATCTTTGACAGATGTGTTCTTAATCAAAAATAAATAGGTATGTATATAATTGAAAAAATCTTACAACAAAAATAAAGAACTTGACAATAATTATACCGTTATAAATTCGGAAATAAAAATCAATTTGGTATTAACTGAAATAAATGTAAATGGAAACATATCGTTTAAAATATTTCTATGAACAAGTTTTTTTAAAATTTTGGTTATATTTTACTCGTACATTGTAATATTTTGATTAGCAACAGATTACCGAGTAGGACAATTGTAAAATAAATCTTAATTTGTATACGAATTTATTTTGTGTTGTGGCTTAAAGATACATTTTTTTATCATTTTTAGAACACCGATACAGAACACACCCCCTGTTGCCTGGCAACACCCCTTACAGAGGTGTGCCCTCTAATTGACCGCAGTGAAAGGATTGAAATCTTAGCCGAACTAATTCCATTATTAAAATCACGTGGCAGGACTTAGGACTCGTAACTCAAACGAAGCGTTATTTTTTCGACTTTTTTTAAGCTTTGTGCAAACGCGTCTTTTGGTTCCCACACTATCGTGTTTAGCTGAGCGAAGCTGAATTTTTCCATCGGTCGTCTGGTGTCTGTTTCTTAAATATTGCAAGCGCATGAATGCAATTCGCATCGCATGGAGACAAAATATTAGAGAAAATGTGAAATAAGAAAGATAAATATTTGGTATAGAATATTGTCTGTTAATACAATAAATAATATACTTTAAAATTAAAAAGAAACTGACCGAAAAATTTATTCAAAATAAGATAATTTAATTTAAGATAAGAACTAAGGATTACAATTTTTGAAAGATAACATAAATAATTCAACATTTCAGTAAAAAATTTTTTCAAGTATTCCTATTAATTTTCAGCTATCTGAAGTTATCCTAATCCGCACATCCTCCTCCACAGCCACAAGTACTTCCTGGCTAATACTTTTTAAGTAGCTCTTCTCGCATTTCTTCGTAGTTCCTTTTTTTTTGCATCATCCAGCATTATAATACTTCACAAATACCCAGAATTTTTAGTGCACTTTGCGATAATCTTGACTATTACTCAATTTTCCATACGAAGATCCGCAGAGTTCTTCTCAAATTCTTCTAGTATTTACTTGTAACTTCTTGCATAACCATTTGTGGCTGGCCAGCCCATCGTTTTTCAATGGTTTTTCAATAGCCTTCCATTGTAGTCTATTGTCAGCCTGTCGACGTTCAACAAATTGCTTAACTTCTCGCAAAAAGAGACAAGACACTCTGGGATATTTATTTATTTAAGCGAAAACCTGCTCGGTTAATCCCAAAACTCCAGTTCCAGGCCAGAAAATAGAGCAGCCCAGAAAACAGAAACAGAAAACAGCTTACCATCTGTAATCCCGAAATTCCCAACAAAGCGTTTTGTAAGGTGTCACCTTGTCGCTGTTCTGTCTGCTCCCATTCATAAGGAGAGGATTCCCTTATCCGCCTGTCGATCACACAATAATGGGCCAACCGGGGGATTATGTGTGGGAGAGTTTTGTCTGGCGATGCCAAATGATTTTCGCACCTTTACCTCGAAAATGTTTAGGGAATTACGCGTAGCACACAAAGGTGTTTATAGAGACATCACAAGACAATCCAATTAATAAAATGTGGAAAGATTGCATATTTTTAAATCAAAAGTTCTACAATGATTTCTAAAAAAATCGAACTTAAAATAAAATTCAATTGAAATATGTTTCTAAAAAAATCAAACTTTAAATAAAATTCAATTGAAATATGTTAAATACAAAAATTTTGGAACTTATTTTTATGATCCCCTTTAAAATTCTTCGAAGAATTCTTCGGAATAAAATGTTTATTTGCTCTTAAAAATTGTATTTTAACGTTAATAAGTGCAAGAAGTAAGTGCAAGTTATAATACACAATTTAAGCTTAAAACTTATATTTTCCATACCATTTCAAGGTTTAACCTTAAATCCTATTTTAAATTTTACATGCAGACTAGAAAACGGTCCTTATTCTTTCTAATAATCTTTCAAATCGTAAAATCAAAAATATTTTTGGAGACATCAAATTAATCTTCAGAAAAACAGAAAGCGGAAAACAATTTATATTTTCCCTGCCACTTAGTAACGCAAATCAATCAATGCTCTCCGAGTTTCCTTCGTTAATTTCAAACATATGCTGGGATACTCGAACACCCAAACAATTTCCACAGATAATTGGGCGGGCGAAAAGGGGTGCACATTGTAAGACGATCCAGAGTTGGCAACCAGCTCATTATTCTCATTAATGAAAGCTCCGCTGGTGTTTCCTTTCTTAACTCAACCGATAAATAAGAAAACTACAACTTTTCCAACTAATACTCTTCAGCTATTTGTATACACCCGGTGTACATGAGATGATTTGAATATGATAATTGATTGTTTTGCCTTCTGAATGGAAATTCCGTTGAAAATCAAAAACTTATCCAGAATGGCACAAAAATCCCAGATAGCCATCATTCGTGCAGAAGAGTTTTATTGGGTTCTTTTTGCTAAATATCATGATTAGAGTTCTTAGGAAATTTTTTGGTCAGCAATGAAAGAAGGTGAAAGGATGTTGATGAGATAAAATCAGGGAACCAACTTCTTTTTACAAGTGCTAGCTGAAATCAACGGATGTTTCCAAGTATTAAAATCGTTTAAACATTTTTTATCCTACATTTTTTACGATTCTTTAAGATATGATTAAACTTTCGGTATAAACTTTCAAAAAATAATCACAAACCTTTTTTTTAATGTTTCTTTTATTAAATTTTACCTGAATACACCAAAAAACCTTTTTTATAAGAACACTTTAACCCAAAATTGTAAACTAATTTACCACAGCGAAATAAGATTCCCGCGGGACACAATTAGTGTACTTTGTACTTTTTTATTTTGGACATATGCTTTCCCCGTTGCCGCAAAATGAGCAAATAAATCATAAATGTTGCATTCAACGTAATTGAGCCCAAACTTACCCCTAAGTTGTCCGAGGGGCAGGGGCTGTGTCACCATGACTACAGTTCTGTGAAACAAGAAAAACAATGTAATCCGAGCTGGTTTTTTTGGAATGTGCGTAATATTGTGGGGAAATTGCTAAAGGGGAAGCAGATTTAACTTGTTCAAATTTTAGGGGTTGTAATAGCTCCGCCCTCTGAGAAAACGAGTGGAAAGGAACCATAAAAGGGAGGAACAATGGAAGTGGAACAAAATTTGTAGAAGAAATTTGTTAGGGGGACTCATCTATATGGGGCAATTATCTCATTTTAACTAGAGAACGAAAGTAAAGTAACTAATTTTAATGAAACGACAAAACTGAACTTAAACAATATAAATTTAACAAAGTAACTAAAAACGAAACTCAACTCAAACATCCTTGGTTAGCTTATGAATCTGTCGGTAGTTGACATCCACCAATCGAATGCTGCTTCCCACTGTAGCCAAGGGTTTCATGAAGCTATTCAGGCTATTGGCCACCGGTTCGAGGATGTCCCTCACGGAGCATAGGATGTTGTAGAGGAAAATCAGCGGCGGCTGGAGGTAGCCATTGAAGAGCATGGTCAGCAGGGGTTTCAACAGGTAGTCCGAGGTCATGTGGAGTAGGCCAACGATCAGGGTGTTCACCAGGCTGTACAGAACGAAACGATAGCTCTGCAGGATGAAGGCGACCACGAAGGCAACGGCGATGTGGAGCAGACCAAAGAGCTCCGCCCAAAAGTGGGTAGCATAGGTGGTGGCCCGATCCGCCAGGACAATGGCATTGATTTTCGGATGGGTGTCTGTGGTGCTCAGGTAATCGGCGCATCCATGCTCAAAGGGATATATTCCGATGCAGGTATGTCGGCTGGCCTCCTTGCGATTCCACTGCGGTTCCGGCAGGTCATCGATGATGGATTTCTGGCTCTGATTCTGCGCCTGGCACTTGCACATTTTGTCCAGCGATTCCACCAAACGGGCCAGGAAGCCACCACCCTCACGTTTCTTAGCCTGCGATGCACGGTGGGATTTGGAGCGACTTTTTAACTTGGGAGCAGATCTGGATGGAACAATCACGTGAGGACGTCTCTTCGAGTAGCGCTGGAATTCGATCCTCTGCGGTTTGTTCTTCGAATGATCCAGTAGACTCTTTTCCGGTTCGGTGTGCATTTCGTATAGAGTGTGTGGCGAGCCACCGGAAACCGAGGACTCGGTCATCTCACCACGACCCACATCCTTAAACAGGTTGTACTGCGTCTGACTGTTTTGGTACACATCCGAATCGCTGGAGGAGTTCATCCGGGGCAGAACCTTCTTCAGCGGCGATGGCATCTTGGCCGTTACGCCCACGTGGTTCACTTTGATCAGGTTCGACTTGGAGGTGGAGCAGTGGGGATCGGTTGAATCGGACATTGTATTTTTTTGTTCAAATCTAACTGACATTTAACTCAATAAGTTTTCCAAGAAAGTGTTTTCCATTTTTATTTTAGTTGATCTATGTTTATTTCTATTATTCTCAAGAATTCGCGGTTTGGCAGTTACAAATGGAAAAAAACTACATAAAATATAATAAAAAAGTGTATTATTATTTTTATTCGACATATATTATAAACAATCTGGGATTCCCTAAACTGTTGAATGAATATTTGCCTTGTTGAACAAAAAAACAGAGTATTTTAACAATTGTGGGAACTACCCTAAATTTTTCCTGTTGAATTTTTAAACAGATTTATTAGTTATAGATTTCACGGAAATTAAAAGATTGCTGAATTAATTTGCTGAATTTTCTGGAAATTTAATTTGTTTGAAAATCAACAATTTAGGGAATCCCCTTAACAATTTGGTTTTCTTTTCGGGTTGAGTCCGCGCTAGCAGTAATCAAAGTTCTCAACCAATTTAGTATACTTTTTGTATATTTCTATACACGAAGCCAATGGTATTTTTTACCGGTCACCAAACTGTCACTTTGCTTAGACAATTGGAAAAAAAAACAACTGTAATTAGGGGCCATAATTAATTCATATTACACGCTTTTAGTTACGCTACATAAATCTAGGAATCAAACGCCGAACAGCCGAAATCGAAACCGCAATCGAAATCGAAATGTTTGCCTCCGCCTGGCGTAGCGTGGCCACCACAGTGGAGACCCAGTTGACCGCCACCTACTTCCGAGGTATTCCGAGGATTTCTCGAGCGGATTCGCCTGGTTTTGGAGCAATTCGAAGACGATTTCTGGCTGTGCCCGTCCGTCCAAGTCTCGTCAAGCGTAATCTATCCGTACCGTACCGTATATATGTGTTTAATCTAATCTCTGCCCTGCTCTTCTCCCCCGGCTACATATTACCATGTCCATATTTATCGTTGCTTTATGTTTGCTGCCCACTTTTGTCACTGAAATCTGAATGTCAACGGTTGTAATCTCATTTCAGTGCAAAAACTGCGAAAAGTCGGACTGAGAGGCATGCATAGCACTTTGGAGGACGTCAAACTGGAGGGCATGGAGATCAAGATCCTGCCGGCCCTGCAGGACAACTACATGTATCTGATTGTGGACACAAAGACGCGCGAGGCGGCTGTGGTGGATCCCGTGGAGCCGGAACTGGTCATCAAGACGGTGCAGGAGGAGCAGCTGACCCTTAACAAGGTGCTGACCACCCATCATCACTGGGATCATGCTGGCGGCAATGAGAAGTTGGTCAAGTTGTGGGAAAAGCAGCTGGATGTTTATGGGGGCGATGACAGGATTGGAGCCCTGAATCAGAAGGTTCAGCAGGATGACACCTTCACCATTGGTAGCTTGAATGTCAAGTGCTTGTCCACTCCTTGCCACACCACCGGGCACATTTGCTATCATGTTACGTCGCAGGAAGGAGGCGGTGAGGGAGCTGTATTCACTGGGGACACCCTTTTCCAGGGCGGCTGCGGCCGCTTCTTCGAGGGCACTCCCGAGGAAATGTACGAGGCCCTGTGCACCAAGCTCTCCGCCCTGCCGGACGCCACAAAGGTCTTCTGCGGCCACGAGTACACGCTGCAGAACATGAGCTTCGCCCGTCACGTGGAGCCCGACAACGAGGTCATCCAGCAGCGGATCGAGTGGGCCAAGCATCGTCGCGCCTCCCAGGATCCCACTGTGCCCTCCACCATTGGCGAGGAGAAGTCCTGGAATCCCTTCATGCGCGTCCACGAGGAAACTGTGCAAAAGCACGCCGGCGGCGACACCGATCCCATTGTCACCATGGGCAAGCTGCGCAAGGAGAAGGACACCTTCAAGGCCTAATCCTATCTCTGAATAATTTTCGAAACATGTGATTTAATATTGGATTTAATGGTTAATAAAATTAACGGTATTTGTGAAGTGCATAAAATGGGTGTTTTGTAATTTTTCATGATTTAAAATGAGTTAATTTCAGAAATATTAAAAAAAAGGACTTTAATATTGGCTAAACAAAAAAAAATTAAAAAAAAAAAATTTGTACTCATTTTTTAAGTTTTATAATAAAAATATTTCATCACATCTTTTATAGTCGACCGATTTTTATAATATTAAGTTCTATTTTAAAAATAAAATTTAGAAAGTTAAATAATGAATTTATTTCAGAAATATTCAAAAATGTTCTTTAATATTAGCTAAGCAACAAATAAATAAAAAAAAATTTACACTCATTTTTTAGGCTTTATAACAAAAATATTTCAAGACATCTTTTATAGTCAACAGATTTGTATAAAATTAAATTCTTAACGAAAAAATTAAAAAGATCTGTATAGATGAAAATATCTCCAAAATCAACGAAGCTATATTTTTCAGGGACCGTAAATAATCATTATTTGAGATTTTTATTTTAAAAGGCCTACTGAGATTTGTACAAGTTTTAGTCAACAATTTAACTGCTTTTTATGCACTTTATAGACATGAACAAATAACAGTTAACTTGCTTTCCAGATTTATTAGCATGCATATACTTTGTCAGCAATAGTAAAAAGATCGTTATTTTTGACGTTTAAAACGAAAAATCACAGTAGTCTTTTTAAAATAAAAATCTCAAATAATGATTATTTACGGTCCCTGATATTTTTTATCTATTAATTTTTCCGTTTCATCTACGATTTGCAATAGATTCAAAACTAATCCCAGCTTATTGTTCGCAAAACTCGCATGTTGCGCATGTCTTTCACAATTTTATTGAATACAATAGGTATATGGAATATACGGCTTGCGAGCACAACGCACTCGGCAATGTTATAAAATTATATTTAGCAGTTAGTACAATAATATAAGTTATGTTAACGTCGAATCTCCCGTCAACTCGGTTTCTGTATTTAGCTAGCGCTCTGTGTTTATGCTCTCAGCAACATCAATCCACCCACCGAGATTTGACTAAGTAAGGTAAACATTTAGTAAGCGTCATTAGATTGATATGAGTCAAGCAGCAATGCATGGCTGCTATTCTGACAAAGATTTAAGATGTATTTCTTATGGCTACGCAGATTTAGGATGGTCATTTCTTGTTGTGTATTTTCTCAGGCGGCTTTTGTGTCTTTTGTAAAATTGACGTTTGTATTTGTTTCGTGGTTCACAGAACATTCATGGACTAATAGTTAGTATATAAATATGTGTAGATAAAATAATTCTCGGAGCTAGCTGTTTCTGCTAAAGACACATTGTATACATCCGTATGGTTCAGTTTATAAATACATAAAAATACATAGAGAACAGGGATCGATGGTAGGGTAAAATATAAAATATTGGTAGCCTGAGCAGAAGCAGAATCGGAACAAATAGGTTCGGTGTCCGGGTTCCCCTTGTTGCTTAGAGTTCTCGTTGTTCCTCACGCTTGGCGTGGCAAGCTCTCACCGTGCACCGACGTGAATGTTAGATGGATAGTGTGCATTACTTCCTAGCAACTAATCTTTTATATGGCGGGCATATAAAATTGTCCAGAACGCATTACGTGGAGCTCGCCAATCGGCCAATCCAATCTATGTTCCCAGCTTTATAGAACCGAACGGCGTTTGTTCCTTCCAATGTGTGTGTGTACACTTAAAACTAAAACTACAAAATGGTACATGGAAACACTAAACTAAAATACAATTTGACCATGGCAGAGGCTCAAAAACACTTAAAACTTATAAAACAAATTCACGTTCGATTTAGAATGATTCTCTGGCTGCTGCTGTTGCTGCTGCTCATTTTGCTTGGCGTTGTAGGCCTGGCAGAGCTGATCCAAGTCCTCCTTGCACAACTCAATGGAGTCGATCATGGCTACCTTCTTGTACCTGGAAGGAAATTCAATCTATTAGAATTATTTCCGATATACAGGTGTTGCTCCTACTTACGTGTCTCTATTGTACTTTTCCCGCATGGCCTGCGTGTTGAGGTCCTTTGCCGCTTTGTGGGTGTTGCTCAGCTGCAAGACCACGGTTTTCAGGTCTTCCAGCTTGTAGGTGGTGATCTCCTCCAGCTGCGGTGTCCACATCTCCATGCCGAGAATATGACGCGCCAGTGCGAGCGAAGCGGACGACATGAGTGAGGGCAAGTATTGCAAGTAGGTTTCTCCCTCCATCAGCGACAGTTCAGAAATGTACTATGTAAAGTTAGGGAATTCAGTTAGTTTTTCTATATATTTTTTATGACCAGTAACTTACCAGCGTCAGGAACTTCAGCCTTTCTGGCATATCGCACATCACGGCATAAGTGTTGATGAAAACATAAGCAGTCGGGGTGCCTAGATCGAAGGAGAGGATCTTCAAGATGACCTGCTCCATGCGCAGCACCTGCGCCTTCGTGTAGCTGTCGTCGGTGAGGAAAACGAACTCACCCACCTCTGGGGGATAGATCTCCTCGTATTTACTGCAAATAAATCAGAGTAAATTAATATAATATTTATAGATAAATTAATTTAAAAATTTTAATTTCTTACGAGGCAATATACATGGCTGCTGTGCCCACCAGCTGCAACTTGGAGCGCACCACCGCCATCAGGCTCAAGAAGCGATCCAGATAAAAGACCGAGAGGTAGAGGGTCTCCGTGTCCAGTTTGTACTCCTCGGAAACCTCCACCAGCCAATCAATCAGGATGGAGCGCATGTTGTGACTGATGTCCTTCTGCCTCCGCATATACATGGGTTTCGGGCGATGTTTCTTCTGAAAGATTGAAATAAGAAATGCCACCGATTAGGAACCGATCAATAAATTAGCAACATACTCATAATTACTACTAATTCGTACTATGGCAAACTTTGTTGGGCTACGGATACTGAAACATTCAGCAAGCGTAAAAAGATTCTAATTGATATTAGTATTTGCTCACATTTTTATCGCAAAAGGCGTATTTATTTTCATCAGTTTTTAATTTGTTTTAAGATTTTTCGGCAGTGAAACAAATATTTAACACCTCTCTTAAAGTATATTTGGGGTAAAACAATATAAAACAAATATACAAATTATTTTTATTATTGTACAATTTAGCATAAATATGCTAAAAGATTTTAGCAAATATATCTTGGGACCAAAAATACCAATTGATTTATTAATTAAAGGGTACCAAAAAGTCTATAATCGATTGGCAAGTTCCATACGAGAAGTGGTCAGGTAAAATCGAGGGAATCGAGTTTACCAATTTTTATTTGTTTATTGGTTATTTCGTGGTACGTGATTCGCATTCAAATTCCCAGTTTAAACGTGAAAATCTTGGCCGAAAACGCCTATTTGGCCAATATGTACAATGTACATAAATTAGGTGTTTATTTAATGGTGGCTTTAACGATTATTGGACACGTCAAGCGCCACGGCCTGCTCAAAATGGAGAAACGGTTTAGACCATTTTATTTTTAATTGGTGTGTATAAATGTATAAATTTCAGAATTTTACAAAATTAAAATTTATGCAAAATTTAAAGTATTACAAAAATGTAATATTTTAAATCAATAATCAATCAAAAAACATTTACAAGTTTCCACCTCCATAAAAAATATTCCCTAATAAATTCCCTAACGTTATTGAATATTTTACTACCTTCAAGTTAGTAATATACCATAAATAATACCCATTTCTTTAAAAAGAAATCTGTATCCAACCCAAAAAGTCAGACTGTACATTCATATTTAGTAGAGACAAACAAACAAACAAAGCACCCGGCAACCGGGCAAACAAACTCAACTGAAACTCCCAAAAAATATTCGTTTTTTCTTCCAGGAAGAGCCAGAAATTTCCTATAGCCTACAGATATCAAACACGAATATATTTATATTATATTGCCGCGATGACGCTCAAAATCGGAATATGTACGAAGCAGGATTTGGACGAGGCGATGAAGCTGCAGAAGCGGGAGCAGTACGAGGATGAGCGCAAGAGGCGGATATTTAATGCCAAGCAGCGACTCTACGGGGTGAGTAATCCGCAAAAGGAACCTCAATGAACCAAGTTCTTAAGAGATATATTCCAATAGCTCGATTTAGATACGCTGGATCGCCAGATCCTCGAGAAAAAGAAGCAGCAGACGGCGCAGTTGGAGTGCGACAAGAAGTTCGAGGAGCAGGAGCAGCTGCAGAAGCGTCTGATTTCGGCCCAGGAAAAGGAACTCGAAAAGAAGCAGCGCGTGGTGGACTCGGATCTCAACTATTATCGCTGTCGCTATCAGCGCAAGGAGCAGCGTCGCGAATTCGATCTGAATGATCCGAATTTCCTGAAGAAGGCCCGACCCACTAGAGTGGCCGACGATGACATCACACTGGGCGTTTCTAGTGCACAGATCTTCCAGGGCGAGGATCTCTACAACTTCGATCGCAAGTTGCGGCAGCGGGAGCAACAACGCGCCTGGTTGGATCAGCAGGTGCAGGAGCGCAAGAAGGCCGAGGATGCGCGCAAACAGGCCGACAATCTGCTGATGGACAACGTAGGTTGCCGGGACAAACATCTCCAGGAAATGGCCAAATCCGATCACCAGATGCGCAACCAGGTGATCCAGCGAGTGCGTCAGTTCAACATCAACATGGCCAAGCAGAAGCAACTTGATCGCGAGCGGGAGAAGCGAGAGAAGTACGAGGATGACATGGCCGAGATCTACAACATGCTGTCCAGCGACATGCTCACCGAGAATCCGGATGTGGCCCAATCGCGCACCGATCCGAACAAGAAAATTGCCTTCATGTATCGCGGCATGACTCCGGAGGAACTTCGCGTCTTCCGGCTGGGACAGGAGCAACAGCTCCGCTTGGCCACGCAGCGCAAGACGGAGGCCCAGATGATGGACAAGCAGTGGGAGCAGTATGCCATCAACATGGATCGCACTCTGGTGCTCCATCAGATCGAGGATGATCGGCGACGCAAGGCGGAATTCGATGAACTCATGCGAGCCAATTCCAAGCTGGCCGTCGAGCAGGATCAACAGCGCAAGGAGGCACTTGTGGGCCTGAGCAATTCCGTCTCCGATGATTTTTACGATCAGTTCAACAAGAACTCTCGTTAGTTGATTTTAAAAATAATTTACAAAATTTACTAACCAATGGAATCCGAGTATAATGACCTGGATGCGATTGGGAAGATGCCGCATTCTCTTGTAAAATGGAGCAATTTCTCACACGTGTCCGGGTCAAATACCATTTCGGTAAATTTTTGAAAATATTTACAGAGAAATTATAATCTTCATGTTCAATGCAAATAAATAAAAATTACAAAAACGTCAGTCCATAAATTGAAAACATAAAATTAACGAACTTTTGCTAAATGTTAAAATTAAAGAAGGCATTAAAATCTGATCCCATACGTTTTCAAGGTTTTATCCCCACTTTAATAATAACATACGGACAAGAAACAAATTTTATTGTTGACATTTGTTTAAAAAATTTTTTTTTTGTGTTTTACTATTTTTGAATTTAAAAACTATTGTTTTTTTTACAGACATTATATTTAAAAAAAAAAGAACAAAAAAATTAATTTTTATTAGCACAAATGAACCCAAGCAAAATGTGTCAACAAAAAGTATGTATAAGAATTTGCGCCTTTCGATATCAGGAAAAAAGTCACACAAAAAAAAAGAACAATTAGCTGCAAGTCAAATTCCATTAGTTCCGAGTGTAATTGTGTAGTGAGCAATGCTAGAAGTCGAGAAGAAAACGTAGAAGAAGGATAAGAAACGCATGCGAGACGTTTCCCGCCCGATAAACATGTGCCGAGGGGCGGGGAAAGAAGAGGGAACGAACCCACGGACCCAGAAACAGGCAGACGCAGCGTTGCGTGAAGGGAATGCCACTTTAGGGTGCGATACTTTAGGGTCCGTCTTCCTGTTCTCTTACCCACTCTCCTGAAGAATAGAGAAATTACGTCTGCCTGCATCTGCACACAAATATGAAATGCACATGGCATACAGACAGGGGGTAAAAAAAAAACAAACACGAAAAACCAAAGGTACTCATCAAGGGGAGAATCCCTACCAGGCGACATTTTTGTCTTATCTTGGTATCTGGATTTTCCCTATGATGACAAACTGTGTTTGCAGTATGCTTTAAAATAATTAAATATCCTATTCTTACAAAATACATAAGTGGTTTATACCCAAGTACTAATTTTTTACTAAATTTATCGAAAAAATAAATTAAATAATGGCAGATATCGTTAATAAAAACTTTTTTAAACTATCATATTATATTGGAAAACAGTTCTATTAAAATGGAGGCTATGTAGGCTCTAAAACTGTAAAAGTCAGAGTTCAAAGGAGTTATGTTACACCTATATAATAAAAAGAAGTTAAACAATAGGTTGTCCCTAAATAGAAAAAAAAAACTTTTTAATTTATTAATTGTAGAAAGATAATGATAATAAAGACAAATAATAGGAAAGAAAGGTCACATTAAATTCAATCAGAAATAACATGTAACAATACGTTATATCCAAGATAATCCTATTCATATTTCAAAAGAGTTCTTAGTCTCATAATACAAATTCTACCGGACTTACCTCGCTCTCCCGGAAGTTCTGGAGTATGTCCATCTGGTACTGGACCACTTCGAAGAACCGCTGGCGATCATTGCGCGGCGGCAGCTCCTTGACTTGTCCACCAGGCGTGGCACCAGTTTCCAGACCATGGACACTGTTATCATTAGACTCAATGACACCGAGAATGGATCGGTCCACAGACATGGGCGATAGGACATCGGTCACGGACATGGGCGTGGCATTCAGATCGTATTCCACCAACTCCTTTTGCCCCGCATCGCTGGAAGGGGTTAAAAACACAAGTTTTTCAATGGTATTCCATTTTTAATGATGGAGACCGATGGGGACTTACAATTTCCCGACATATTGGTTCTCCTTATCGGCCAGGGACTTGCCGGGTGGCGCCACCTGGGTGTCGCAGTTATCCTCGTACACAGAGAAGGTCTTGAACTGCTCCACCACGGGCACCACATTCGATTTCTTGGCGGCAAAATCCACATTTTCATCGACATTGTGGTTCCTGACGTCACGGAAGACTTGCTGAGAAGAGCAAGAAAATATAATAATATTAATATTAAAATTACTAAAACTAATAAAACCAAGAAAATTATCAAATTTATAGTTTAAAAACATTTTAAATAGTTATAATTTTAGAAGCTTAAATAATATTAATATTTGGGTCGTCTTAAATCAAATACCAAATTATTTAAGATTTTTATTTTCAAAGCTCAGTGTATGGACTAAGTTCTAAAAAAAAAAAAAACTCCCCCGTCCAGTGCTCCCTGGAAAGATCCTGCTATTCAGTTGCGCGCCGTTCCCTGGCTTCCCACAAAGTGCGCCAATGTGTGCGTGGGCAATTGCATTTGCTATTGCTCTCCTCTTTGCTGTGCTGATTTGTTGTTGCAGTTGTTTGGAAAAGGCGCGCAATTGCCAGGCTTTGTGCTATTTTCTAGGTTAGTTTAGATTCTAGGTTATGTGCCAATAATTAGCAAATGCACATAGTCTAAAAAGAATTATCCAAAAAATGGAAAGAGAAGGGGGAAAAGGAGAGAAAACCACCACCACTGAGTGAGCGCACAAACACGCGTACAGGCGCAGTTTCGTTGGTGAAGATCCCACCACCAAAAACAAAAAAAACAGCAGCTGCATTGGAATTAGACTGGAACTGGAGTTACGGGAAATTGTGAACGGTGCTTACCGCTTTCCCGGACGGACGCGGCACGTTGTTGTTGCCATTGAGCACGGCGAAATTCGCCCGCGGCGCAAGCGCATTTTTCTCCGATTTCCCGATAACGGCCAGCGGCTGCTTGGCGTTTTTCACCCCGGCCGGAATCGTGATGCCCGGATTCTCCTTGTTGCTCATGTCTTGGTGGATCTGGAAGCTGGCCATCGCGTGCTCCTTTTTATCCCTTTCTTCGTCGTCTTGTAAAATGGAGTCTTCGCTGTTCTCTTTCCTCCTCTCTTTCGCTAAGCGTCGCTCGCTTCCTGCTGTTCTTGTTGTTGTTGTTTTGTGCCGCTTTCTTATGCTCGACGCTCACACCGACACACACAGTCACAGGCTCATATGCTCACAAACATATGTACATATAAGCGGAGGCGAATTTTATCATCAACAAATTGACGCTCAAATTACACGCACACACACGGAATTCATTTGACTTTCAATTTCGATTTCTACAGCATTTTGCGTCACGGGAGCGTTGGAATTTGTTTCCTTGTTTGACTACGCTCGCCCGTACTTCGCAAAAGTTCACTGTTTTCCAAACGCCGTACTTGTTCTGCGGATGATCGCGGTTGAAGGTTGAAAGGCAATTGCTGGCTTCGTTTGATTTTTTCCCGGTCAACAGTCGTAAATTGTATTAGTGTTGCCTTCGCTAAAAAATCCCAAACAGTCGATATTTCCCTAAAAAATCCTAAAAAATCCCCATCACCAAGAAAGGCGTTGCGTCAAAACGTAAGTGTCAGTTATCGATTGCGTACTCCGTCTATCGATGTATATCGACAGTGTGCCCGTATGTAACTGCAGCGGGCGGGCAATTTGAAATTTTATAGTAAATTCAGAAATATTTATGCAAAGCGTTCTATCTATAAATTTAAATGATAAGGAATTTTAAAGGGACCCAAAATACCATTTCTTGTTTTCGAATATATCACATATAACAGAGGGTTATAAGAAATAATAAACGTGGGAATTCCAATGTGATTAGTGTGTTCCCCCGTAAATATGTATGTACATGCAGTTTGCGCTCGCGCTCTAAATCCAAATTGTATGTATAGCACGAGTGCATTGTCCTTCTACCTGGTTTTCGGGACTCCAGGACACCAGAAGTCGGCTTACTTTTCGGTTGACTCTTCTAGCGTAAAGATACCATTGTTGTTGTTGGTCAAGACTGCTGTTTCCCATTATTGCGAGGCATCTTTTCGCTCATTGTTTCGCCATTTCAGTAGTGATCTTATGTAAGAAACTTAGTTCCTGGGTCGGCAGATGCAAGGACAATGCAAAATCACATACACCTTTCACTCTCTGTCCGTAAGGCGATTCAGCTGCTCCAGAAAATTGATTTTCTTTGCCAGCCCAGATTTAGGAATAATGAGAAATTATTATTATTAAAATAGCTTTCTGGCGAAACAAAACATTTGTATAACATTTTAATTAAATGATTAGTTCAACTTTAGGATAGGATACATATTTTGTGTCTTTAAATTTTATTGCTGTGAATCGCTTCATCCATCATCCGATGTAAAAAATATGCCGCTAATGATATTCCAGGAAAGTTTGATTGAATGGTGCCATCGAAACAGTATCCTAATTGAGTTTCAAACTTTTCAGTCTTCCTATTACCAACTTAATATTTGTTGGCTGAAAAGAAGAGAAATAAAGTTTACGCCTCTTTTCTTCATTTCGAATCGATATCACCGAAAATACCTAGTAAACTTATGTGGCAAAAACTTAAAAAGCTGAAGTTGTCCCCAAAATTAATCTATTTTCTAAGACTTATTTATCAGCATAAACATTACCAGGGCGAACTACTGAATTATTTTCAAAGCAGCGGGGGAATCCTGTCAGAATTACTGTTTACCCTATATCTGAACGATCTTTGCGATGAATTAAATGGAGGACTATTCGTAGATAATCAACAAATAAGTATTCTAATGTATGCTGACAAAATTGTGATTCTCTCAGAGGGAACAAAGGCACTTCAAGATATGATAGACAAGCTGGAAAAATACTGCCTTAAATGGGGCCTCGGGGTGGACATGAGCCGATCTGAAATATTGATTTTCGCAAAGCGCAACAATCGTTCTCCGGAAGAAAGATGGATTTTATCAGAGAAAAGAACAAAAATTACTTTTAAAACCAATTTTCTTGGTTTCGTGCTTAGTTCGACACCATCTCCTATATTAAATAGTGAAGCGGCACTCTGCACTAAACGTAACATTCAGGCCCTCGATCTTCATTTAAAATATATAGGGAAGATATATTTTTCACGTACTGGAAATTCCATGGCGCTATTTCTTACAATTATAATAATCGAGCAAAATATTTCGTGGGCCAGGCAACTTGACGATTTTTGTAGACCCTTTAAATTAAATTGGAAGAGCTCTCTAAACTCGGAACTGGAATGGAATGATTTTTGCTCAAATCTACTCAGCCGCATTGAAAATCCTGATAAATCCTAATTATGCTCTACAGACTTCCAGAATTTTGGTACTACATTTAAAATAATACATTTATTTTATACACAATTTATCTTGTAAAATAATTTTATTATATTGCTATAATTTATTTAAATAAAATAATTATAGTAGGACAATTTACAGAATTTTTATTACATCCGTAAACTGTTAAATTGTTAAAATTTTCAAGTTGCTGATAATTCTGATAACTGAATTTAAAAGAAATATCTTATCAATATACCCTATACCCTAGGAATACCCTAAATATCTACTACAGTGGGATTTATTTGAAACCAGTTCCGACAACATGGTAGTGGTTCGATATTTTGTGGCATGCCTATCGATTTACCGACCACAAACAGCTGTACCGTATAAATAATGCCGCCGCCGGGAAGAAAAGGTAATAATACTTAATTTAATTAAATTTAATAATAAGTCTCTACTAATATCTGTTTACCATGCAGTTGCTCCAAAGAAACCGAACTTCGTGTGGACCACGCCAGCTACGGAATGCCTTCTCCAAATGTGGCTGGAAAATCTGGACGATTTCCGTGGCAAAGAACGCAAAAACTCTGATATCATGCGGGAAATGGCCCACGCTATGTGGGAGTACGATATTACTACGGTCGAAATAAAGGCTAAAATGGACAACATGAAGAAGAAATACCGGTATGTTCATCCGTCAGTATCTTAACATCTCATGTTCTATTATTTATGTTTTTATAGCAAGGAATTCCAAAAGATAAGGTTATTAAAAATTGAGCGATCTAGATGGATCTACTTCTCCCAAATGCGGCATATTATGGAATATAATGATGACGATGATGAGTTCGAGAGCGATGCAGAGAGCATACCAAAAACTGCCTATAAAGGTAAAATAAAACCCTGTAAGGATGGTAAAAAATATATATGTCTTGCATATTTTTTAGAGATAAAACCCTTAAAAAAGGAATCGCCTGTGGAAAATGAATACTCAGATTCGTCCATAGAATTTGAGTTCCCTGAGCCAGAAAATAAACGACATAAGAGAAATCAACCCGTAACTGAGGAATTTAGCGACGAAGAAATCCTACCAAACTTATATTCAGGTAAAAATCATCAATATATTTTGATAGTTTATAATCTTATATACCCATATTCCTTGCAGAGAACCGCCTCACATCAGAGGAGCCAACGGGAAGCATTCGTTCGGGAAATAACTCAGATTCTTCCGCGGATTTCGATTTTCCCGAACTAAACGCCAAGCGCTACAAGCAACAGCGCGAAAAAGCGGTGGGCGAAGAAATGCTGGCCCTTCAAAGGGAAACTCTAAATGTTATGCGAACGATTGCAGAGGATCTTTCCAGTTTTCATGATAAGTTCTTGAAAGCATTTGCGCCAAAACGCCAGAAACGCTCTAGACTAAGCTAATTAATAGATTTGTTATGTGATATGTAGACATCGGATTTAAAGCCACATTTAATCAGTTACAAATTTTATTTATTAAGTTATAATCAGATTAAGGCCAAACTTAATTGAGGTTTTTGTAAAAAAAGTTTAACCCATCAAATGTGGCTTTAAATCATATTTAAAAAAAAAAACGATTTCACCTAAAATCCGATGTCTAGTGATATGACAACTTTCATATGTAATGTGCAAAATATTTTTGCAAAAGGTGTATAGAATATGTTGACTTAAGAAAGCCACTCCAAAATATTAAAAGTTTGTTTACGTAAAGACCTTAAATACATATAAGTTTTTATTTATTTATTATATTAATTAATTTAGATTATTATTATGAATGCAATGTACATATTTTTGCATGCAGCTCCCTGGCCAATAATCCATACAAAACAATCAGAAGATGATTCTCGAACATACACATAAAAGCTTAGCGACAATTTGTCCAGGTGAAGCAGTTGAAGTCTTAGTTGCCGGTCTGGTTGACTGCCGCTCCCGATGGTTCGTTTTCTGGTGGTGGTGCTGGTGCTGCTGCTGGTTGTTGAACTGGTGGCGCAGCGAACACATGGGCCATTTGTGGCGGCAACGGCGTTGGCTGCGTGGGAAACAGTCCGCCCATCGAGGGCTGCACCTGTGGATACGAGGGCACCGTTTGGGCACCTGCCGGATAGGAGAGGACAGCTGGTGCCGACATGTAAGCCTGCTGCGGTGCCGAGAACATGGGCACAGCCGCCGGTGGTGCCGGCGCAGCCGTAGCCTGCGGGAATGGCAGCTGGGCGGCGGGTATGCCACCCAAAGTGGCGCTCTGCTGCGCACTGGGATCATAAACGCCGGGTATAAAGATGTTGGCTGGTGCGGGAACCTGAACCTGCGGCACAGTCTCTTCAGCAACTGGAGCCACAGGCTCGGCGATATTGGCCTGCGTTTCCAGCGCTGCGGTGAGAGCATCGGTGGCTTCATCGGGATTAAAGTAGGTCTTGAACAAGCTCTGTGCCGGCGGCTCAATGGTGGGTGGCCTGACCTCGGCGTTCGTGGAGCCAAAGGTGTTGGCCAGCGGTGGTATGTAAGGCAATGTTGGTGCAACCACAGAGGCTCCCGCAGTAGCTACAGCTGGAGCTGCTCCGCCGGCAGTGAGCAGCGGAACAGAGGCCTCGGCGGCAGCAGAGGGAGAGGCTGCCGGATCTGCCTGCACGGGAATGCGATGCAGATAGCCGAAGCCAATGCCACAGCCCAGCGCGCCCTCGCCTCCCCAGGCGGTATTCGGTTTGATGGTGACCTCGCGGCAGGCATCATCGTCCAGATTGTAGACATACATCTTTAGGGGCTGCTGCTCGTGCGTTTCAATCAGGGTAAACAGGTCGTCGTTCTCGTGGCGAATGGCATCGGCCCCGATTACATAGTCGCTGTAGGCGCGCAAACCGGCCAGCTCGGCTGGCGAATTGGGATGCACTTCCAGGATGTGCCAGACGCTCTCGTTGGCGCCCTCGAAGGAGCAGAACCGAATGCTCACGCCCAGCAGTCCCTGGCCGCCCCAGCTGTTGCTCGGCGTGAGCGTCAGTTCGCGGACCGCCTGCGTCTTGCTGGAATAAACGGTCAGGCGCACCGGCTTGTCCACATTCTGGCGCAGTAGCTCCTTCAGCATATCGTTGTCCTGATCCAGACGCGTTCCGGCAATGGCCACGATGAAGTCGAAGAAGGCCTCCAGTCCGGCCTTTTGACCCGGCGAGTTGTCCTGCACTTTGAGTACGTGGTAACCTGCGATTGAAGATTTCGGTTTATTCGGAGTTTTCTATATAATGAGGGGGTATTCTATTCGAACCAAAGTGCTACCTATAGTCCATGTCAAAAGAGATATTTTTAATCAGATTTAAACTGCAATATTAAATAGCTTTTAAGTGGATCTCGGTTTATACAGATTTTTACTTTAATTTTATTTATAAAATAATAACTATTAAGATTTTTAATCAGATTTAAACTATAATAATAGATAATTTTTAAGAGGATCTCGGTTTGTACAGATTTTTAATTTAATTTTATTTATAAAATAATAAATATTTAGATTTTTAATCAGATTTAAACTGCAATATTAAATAGCTTTTAAGAGGATCTCGGTTTGTACAGAATTTTACTTTAATTTTATTTATAAAATAATAAATATTTAGATTTTTAATCAGATTTAAACTGCAATATTAAATAGCTTTTAAGAGGATCTCGGTTTGTACAGATTTTTACTTTAATTTTATTTATAAAATAATAAATATTTAGTTTTTTATATTGCTTACAAAACAAGGAACAGGTCTTAGCAACCCTATAGCGTAAATATATGTATTTTTACTTAGGATCAAGACTCATTAAACTGGTAATATATTGTCAATTTGTAAGGTCAATAAACTTGCATTGAAAATATCTTACTAATCAAGTCTCCTCATTTGTTTGGACTTCCTTTTTCCTAACAATTTATCTTAAAGGTACTTGGCAACAGGGTATCAACTAGTCGACTATCCTATGCTCTTTCTTCTGATTGGACCAGCGGCAGGTTTACGTTTACGTGGTCCGTCGAGAGGAAGTTGGATGCCCACTCACCTTCGGTGCCGCCACCGGGAACGTGGATGCTGTGGCTCGAGCCCATCGTTCGATTGCGTCCAGTCGAGCTCTATTCCAAATCCGGGCACTGACTTTTTTCAGCGCTTTAGCCCCGTTTTAATTGTGCCAACAAAATAAGTTCTGGTTCTGTTCTTCGTGGCAATAATTTCGTTTCGTCGTAGATATTAGTGTGGCCGCAGGTCGCCGAAATACCACAGAGCCAGCGGGTGTGCTAAAACTAACAGCTGATCGGAAGGGTTACTAAAAGGTTAGGGTTATTCCAGTGCTTGCGTGGTTTGAAATTAAATTAGATCAAGGCTCGGCCTATAAAGATAAAACCCGAAATTGATGTATTACACTTTCTTTGAAAATATAAAACTTTTAATTTTATTATAATGGAAATCACTTTCAAAATATTCTATTCAGTCAGATGTTTGCAACGCAGTGAAGGAGACGTTTCCGACCACATAAAGTATATATATTCTTGATCAGCATCCATCTAGCCATGTCCGTTTGTCCGTTTCTATGAGAACTAGTCTCTACATTTTAAAGCTATCGCGATGAAACTTTCACAAAAGTCTTCTTTCTATTGCAGGTAGTACATATTTCGGAACGAGCCGGATAAGAAAATTCATTGTATATTTGTAGGAAGTAGGCGTTTTGATTTTTGACAACTTCTGATATCTGAAATTTTTTGATCATTTCATTTATGTTTGCTTCATAGCTTTTAATTTTGGATTCTAGCTCGGCTTTACATTTTTGTGTCTTCCTGTTTCATTCGACAAGCTCTTCATCTTTTTCATGAATTGTAGCTTCCAATTTAACAATTTTGGATTTAGATTCGGTAAGTTCGTACTCTAGCTTTTCGATTTGCTTGTCTTTCTGACTTAGATTGTTTTCATCGTAGCGTAGCGGAAACTCAGGATCACAAGCAACCGATTTTGAGTGAATTTTAGCTGGGAGACATAAAGATTGCAGCTAAGATTCAGGAGCAAAACGACCAGATTTCAAGAGAGTTTCAGCAGGAAGACTGCAGCCCGTTTTTCAGCGAATTTCAGCAGGAGGAGCAGTCAGATAGAATTCGAGATTCGAGATACTATCAGAAGGAATCGAAAAGGAACCGCCAAGCCAGCTGGAATCCGTGATCGAGAACTATCAGCAGATCCTTACATCCTTAAACCCCTTAATTTGATGGCCAATCCAGAGCTATTAGAATTGCGTCAGCAGCTGGCTGATGTCTGCCACAAGCTGGTAGAGGAAGTCATCCGTGTAAAATCTACCAAGCAGAGCGTCGCCCTGCTCAAGGAAATCTTTTTATGCATCGAGGACACTGAGCCTTCGAAGGACTTGGTACAACATCAGAGGGCCACCAGGCAAATAGACTACCTCCAAACCGAATTTTCGATAGGCCTAGAAATTTTGAAAAGACAAAGACAGCTGGTAACTGGTTGGTATAAGGCCAAGGAAGTAGAACCGGACAACGGGGAGGCAGGCTCGGGAGATTCAACCTGGAAGAGACGCCACCAGGAGGAGAATACACCTACGATCAAGTACCGAAGGGTGGACAACTCCTTTCCCCGCTTCATAGCGAATGAGCCTGCTGAAGACCTGATATTCAGCAAGTCCAATCAACACCGGGTGCGCAATGAAGCCCCCTACCTGCCCATCCTCAACCACGAGTTGGAGCGCATGGAGGAGCACGAACAATATATGAACCTCATCCACGCCAGTCGCTTCGAATCCAAACCGAAACCCCCGCCGCTGCAACGCATTGACATTGGCAACCGCCATGATAACCGAGGGCTTTCCGCCTACGCCAGCTTGATCAGCAGCCAGTCAGAGCGCCAAAAAGCGACACCAATGCGCCTTGGTAGCTTCAACAGCAGCCGTGCCTCCATCCTGTCCAGCAGCTCGGGAAGCAGCGAATCTTCCGATTCCTCCCTGATGATCACGGCCGTTGAGGATGGCTCGAATGAAAGGAAAGCCAACACGAGGACCAACCACACGTGAGTGTCTTTCTAATAGTGTTGGGTAAAAACTGTTCACTTGGGTGAACATGTTCACTTGTTCTTTTTTTCCCAATGAGTCAACTCACTCAGTTTGCTCACTTGTTCACTCGCTCACTTGTTCACTTGCTCATTGTCTGTAAAACCGTATGCATAATGCATCCTAAAAGTACAAAAAAAAAATACTTTTTGTGGCAATAACAAAAAGATATCAACTGAGCAAGTTAACTAAAAAGATCAAATAAGAGAGCCAAACTTAACAAGTGAAAAAAGAAGAGCAAGTACCTGAGCAAGTGAACAAAAAGGAGCAAGTGAGCAAAAATGAACAAGTGAACAATAAATAACAAGTTCGAAGGACCATGTTCACTCACTCAGTTTAGTGAGCAGCTCTTTTTTGTTCACTCATTCATGAGCAACCCAACACTACTTTCTAATATATTTTTAAATCTATGTATCCTAATTCTATCACTCATCAGTGACGCTGCGAAATCGCTGAGTGGCCACCAGCCTACCAGGCATCGTCGCTTTTCCAGCTGCATCTACCTTAAAGATGACTTCGTGGAGCAGTTCAGGGCCAAGTCGGCTCGCATCCGGGAGGAATCCGAGCACCGTCGTCGATTGGCCGCTGTGGAGGCTAATCGCACCACGGAGGAACGACGTGCGTACGAATGCAAGCTGCGGGAGAAGATCTTCCAGTACCGCATCAGCCACAAGCCAATCTTCGGGTCGCCAATCGGGTCATCGGTGGACAAGCCCGTTGAGAGGAAGGAAATCCAACTCATTCCGCTTACCAAGGAGCACATGAGGCGCTATAACGAGCTAATGACAGGCGATTTAGCTTCGGTTCTTGTGGTCAAATTCAACATGCGCATTACCCGTCGCGACATTAGAACATTGCTGGATGGCGAGTGGCTGAACGACGAGGTGATCAATTTCTACATGAATCTGATGACCGAACGCTCGGAGAAGCGTCCTGGCGATTTGCCCGCCACATATGCGATGAACACATTCTTCGTGCCACGCCTCCTGCAAAGTGGACATGCGGGCGTTAAACGCTGGACCCGCAAGGTGGACATCTTCGCCAAGGACGTGATTCCTGTGCCAGTGCATGTCAACGGCGTCCACTGGTGCATGGCCATCATCCACATGCGCAACCAGACTATCCACTATTACGATTCCATGGGACAGCCGAATCAAGCCGTGCTGAACGCTCTGGAGGCCTATCTGCGCGAGGAGTCCTTGGATAAGCGGAAGAAGCCGTTCGATACAAGCGGCTTTAGGATCGAGAGCGCCACCAATGTGCCTCGACAGCAGAATGGCAGCGATTGCGGCGTTTATAGCTGCATGTTCGCCGAATACATTTCGCGCGATGTACCGATCACCTTTTGCCAAACGGAAATGGAGTATTTCCGCCGGAAGATGGTCCTGGAGATTGCGGCTGGTGAGATTTGGAACTAAGGAGATAATATCTGTAATATCTGTAATATACACAAAAGACAATGGCGAACCTTTATGGTTCGATTGTACACACGAAAGCATCAACAATCTACTACCGAATGTAACACTTCTAAATATCTGATTGTAACAGAGAAATTAGTTTTTCAATAAAACGCTATAAAGAAAAAAAAAACGATCAGTTTAAAACAGTTCGTTACAATTCATTGCTCTTCTCATCAAAGTTGGCCAGTTTAATGCTCTTCTCTTCAAGTTTACCTTCCAATTTATCTATTAGATCTATTATCTATTAAGGCTCCCATAGGAATAATCAAACATATATAAGAAAATTCATTGTATATTTGTAGGAAGTAGGCGTTTTGATTTTTGACCACTTAAAAACAACATTTTAAATAGGCAATAATATATCTGGGATCCCTGGAACTGCACCGATCGAGTGAGCATTAAACTATAGGTATTTATTTTATCTGCAAGGGTATGTAAGCCGAAGCTAGCTTCCTTTCTTGTTTTAAAAAAATGGTAATCACTTTCAAAATATTTTGGGAATATTAATTTTCTTTTTAACTTAATAAGAAACAAATTAAACAATTCACCAGATACATTTTATTGGTTGGTCTGCTTTAGATTATTTCTTTAATTATCTTAATTATACTTATGTTTTAGTACATTAAACTGATATTTCAAGTTGGTGTGTTTGGTCCAAGATTCACATCGATAGATTTTTAATGCCTTGGCTTAATTAGCATTTTACACGATTTAAGGGAATATCTATTTCCCATATTCCAACTACCCCACCAAAGTCCATTCCAGTCATATAGCTGAACTTTAGATTCGTAGTATTGTCCGTTCAAATTACTGTAAAAGTAATTTAATAAATCAAATAATCAGTTACTTTAATAATTAGTGCAGTTGGGGAGAACCTAGATAGGTACCTAAGTAAGTACAACTTTACATAGGTACAGATTTAAAAAAAAATGGTAACTAACTGGAACATTTTTTAGTCAAGTAAAGAAAAATAATTTTGAAAGAACTTTCTAAAGGATTATCCTGCTGTGTTTGGTTAAATATATTTACTTATGTTACTCTTACCATTTATCATCGTGTGGATGGCACCACCATAGGGTTTCAAATGCGCAATTAACTTTGCTCCGTAATGCATCGCCAGCATTTCCTGAGTAGTCACCTAGGGAAATCAACTTGTAATTTTCTTTGTTGCTTCCAACAACAAAGTGATCATATCTGGCAAAGGTTCTAACATCGTCAAAATCGACTAGTTCAATATATAACTCATATTTACGACTTGTAGTAAGCTTATGAAGTTTTTCAAGACCTAGCCAGAATTCGGTTCCTATCTCGCCAAATCCATCTGAATAGCAGTTATCAAAGGGATCAAAAGAAACACTTCCATCAATACGCCGTTGTATGACCATCCACAAACCTGCAGATGGAATTTCCTCAAAAACCGCTGCGAAGGGCTTTTCATCAGGGAGCGATACTAACTTAATTAATGGAGTCGCAGTGCAGTTCATTAGTACAAGAGATTTATCCAAGCAACATTCAGCACCTAAGTTAAACTCAGACAATTTTTTGTTCATTTCATTTATGTTAGCTTCATAGCTTTTAATTTTGGCTTCACATTTTTGTGTCTTCCTGTTCCATTCGACAAGCTCTTCATCCTTTTCATGAATTGTAGATTCCAATTTAACAATTTTGGCTTTGGATTCGGTGAGTTCGTACTCTAGCTTTTCGATTTGCTTGTCTTTCTCACTTAGATTGTTTTCATATTCATTGCTCTTCTCATTAAAGTTGGCCAATTTAATGCTCTTTTCTTCAAGTTTACCTTCCAATTTATCTATTAGAGCATTCAATTCTGCAATCCTTTTCTTATATTGGTCGTCACAGTCTACAAGACCGGACGTTTCTTTATCTTTTTCTTTAATTGAACCCTGATTCTTGCTCAAAGCAAGTTCCTTTTCTAGGTCTAAAATGTTTCTTTGCAATTGCTTTACGCTCAAGTCTTTGTTTTCATTAGTTAGCTTGATTAAATCGTCTTTATAATTGGACTTTTCCTTTTCACTTGCCAAATGAATTTCGGCAATCGTCAACTTGGCCACCAGATCATTTATCTTTGTGTTGTTCTTCTTAATGATCTTCCTTAGTCCTTGTACGATCCTTTTTTGATCGCCGCTTGCACTGCTGATATCTTCAATATCCGAATCGCTGCTGAGCTGGAAAAAAGATAGGATTTGAGCTCAGTGTTCAATGATGACTATATCTTATAACTTACCGAATTGTTTTCAGTGGTTGAATCTTCCACTGATCCTCGATGTTTCTGCGAGAAATTGTTCAAGTTCTCGGGTTTCATGGCGATCAATTTACCAATGCGCAATATCTTTGTTTGTCAAATGCACTATTATAAAATGAGATAATATGAACGTATGATGGTAGCAAAGGTCTTTGCATATAAATACAACTTCCTGTTCCTTTCGTTTTATGCATTAATTGTAAAAATGAGAAGAAAACATGTACACAATAGACTACTTCTCAATATAAAGTGTGACCAGCTTTCACGGAAAAAGATTATTTTTAGCCATTGCACGGGAAAAAATTATGGATCTTCCTAAAAGTTAGGGGGATTCCCTAAACTGTTGAATTATTAGGGGGATTCCCTAAACTGTTGAATTGCTGAATTGTTGAAAATTCAACAAAAAATTTCAGCAATTAAGGGAACGACCCAAAATGGTTCCTGTTGAATTTTCAAACAGCTGTTATTCGTTGAAAAATTTCACGGAACTTAAAGCATGTATAATTTGATTTATTATTGCTAGTTACTGTCTAAAAGTGTTACCAAGGTAAAAAGAACCACAAATATGCTTTCTAAGTTGATTTTAAATAAAATAATGCGTACTGGTGATATGTTACAGAGTTGCCACGACTTTAAAAAAAAAAGGTGACAACTCTGGCTTTTCAGCAATTCAACAAAATTTTCAACAGCCCCGAGGCTGTTGAATTGCTGAAATTTCTGAAAGTTGACTTTGTATGGAACAGCTGACCAAAATTCAACAATTCGACAGTTTAGGGAATCCCCCTGTTATTTAGATCTTTTATATAGTTTTTCAACAATTGTCTCTGCTGCTAAATTTGTAATAAATAAATTGTATAAATATTGCAAATCTCATTTAATTTGATTATTGTTGATAAATGTAAAACTTTAAATAAAGATCTGCCTCAATGCTAATGTTTTTAATATCCATCAATTTGAGTAAGTTTATTTAAATTGTTTCATTAGCCCGCAGAATAAAAACTTTGTTTGCTTGAGAAATTTCTTAAATATCTAAAATCTCTCCCGGTAATCAAAAGTTTCCTACATTTTAATCAACTTTTCGATATAAATCTTGGGATTATCCCAACCCTGAATAAGGCAATCTTTTGCTAATCGAATGTTTCATTCTTTTTATTGATTTCAAGATGAAGCGGTCGTGCCAGGTGAGTTATTAGAGCCATCAAGCTATCCCAAAATAAGTTATAAATAGGTGGATTTGTGTGTGCCAAGGACTTCACTTCATGGCCGCCGCCACCTGCCATTGCTGTTGGTACTTGGTCACGGCTTCCCGATGCTTCAGCATGTCCTTCTCCCTGGAAAACGATGGGGATGTAAAGTCAGAGGTGGCTCAAAAATAAAGTCCCCTATCTTATCAATGACCACTCACATATTCTCCAGCGTATCGCTGGAGCTCTTCAGCTCCTTGGAGATGTACTCGATGCGCTTGCCGACATTCTGTCGCGAATCCTCCAGTTCCTGCTTGACCAAAACGGGCCCGAAGAGCTTATAGACCTTGTTGTCGGGCCCCAGGAGGTTCAGCTCGTCCAGGACGCACTTGTTCTCGTTCAGCTGGCTCTCCAGCAGGGCCCGCTGTTTCACCATCTTCACGCAGGCTATCCGGGATGATAAATAAACCATTTAAATGGAAATTACCAACCAGATGGCTTCCAATTGCACTCACATTTTTGTAGGTTCTGGTATGACTCAACCTCGGTCTGCATCTTTTTGTACAACGCTGCGCTGTTCTTGTCCATTTTGATTGATTTGCTGCAGGCGTTTAGCTGGGAGTTGGGCTTAAATAGAGCAGTTGTTTCACCGGTTGTTAATAATTTTAACAAAATTCGGCTAAATGCATGTGGGTGATATTTATCGATTTTACGGGCGTTGCCACCTGGCCTCGATTGTTTGGTTTTACAGCACTATGCCCAAACAGCTGTGTGAAAAGTGTACTTATTTCCCTCGTTTATCTAAATTTGTTATTAAAAAATATAGCATCATTTAATATAAACTTAGTTTTCTAAAGGTGGTCTACATTAATTAATTATTATTTAAAATAAATTAATTTTCGAAACAGTGTTGGTTAGCGCGCAAATGACAGACAGATGCCGCATGATAGACAGCACGAAAAAAAACAAGCATTTGCATTTTGGCAGCAAATAAAAGTAAAAGAGTTTTTGCATTAAATTGCGCACAGTAAACAAACTAATTAAGTAGTTGCCAGGATTAAGTGACCAGCGAGTGGAGTTCGAAGCCAAATCATACGTCATGCAGTCGCCGCGTTGCTAGTACGCCCATAATAACGCTGAGACAAAAGCAAAAGATTTCGCGCCGAAAAGGAGGACGGCAAAAACACGCATATCGCGAGGAAAACCCAACGGAAACCGATTCTAAATGGACTCTGGTGCGGGGAAAATGTGCCCGAACTAAAAGCGAGTGTGTGCGGCTGTAATTGTGATCCGTGGAGACCGTACCGCTTCAGTACCGCCCCCGCACCGCCAGCCCCCTTTTGCCAACAACACACACACACACAAACACAAACACAATGGCACCAGCGAAAAAACGCGAGAAAGACAATAATGCCGATGGTGCGGTCGCAAATGGCCTAAATGGCCTGTCCCACGGAGCTCCGGATGCGGGAAATGGAAATGGCAGCGGAAATGGCAGTGGCAACGCAGCAGGCTCTACTGTACCGCCAACCGCCGAGGGTCAGACGCAGATCAAACTCAATGGCCACCAGCAGGAGCAGGAACTCTTTTTGCAGGCCTTCGAGAGTGAGTAATATCCAGGGGATTATGTACCTACCGATACCCACATATCATATCATATGCTAAATATTTACCTTGCAGAGCCCACGCAGATCTATCGCTACCTGCGCAATCGACACGAGACAAATGTGAGTTTACAAGACCCAGAAATATCTTCCAAGTATTTACATTGGTGTCCCAGAAATCTGTACTTAGGAACCTTTATAACGTTACATAAATCTATCAAAAACTATACAAAACTGTGGAAAATCCAAGCATTAATAGAACGATTTCTCATACCAACCGAAGAAAATCTTCTTGTAACCATCTTTAATTTTGTATAAAAATATTTTAAAACAACTAAATTTTTATCGAAATACTAGAACTATGAATCCTGAAACTTCGTATGATTTCATACATGTTTTTTAAAGCAATCATTACCCAAAACTATCAGAGGTTTATGGAGGACTTCTCATAATCAACCAAATTATAATCAAAAATCAAAGTTAAACTCTCAGAAAATCTAAAACCTACCTAAAACCTACAATTCTATAAAATCACAGGATTTTCATAAACATTTTTCATAACAACGGTTCTAAAAATATTACTATTACTATTAAAAGTTTTATGGAGGAATTCTCATAATTAACCAAATTATAATCAAAAATCAAACCTCTCAGAAAATCTAAAATCTAACTAAAAACTAAAATTTTCTTTAACATATTTCATAACAATTATTCTAAAAATTATCAGAGATTTCCGGCACACCCCCGCTTATTGAAGAATCCTTAAAATCCCTACCAACCAAATTATAATCTAAATTCAAAGCCCAACTCTAAGTCAATTTGGTTTAAAAAATTCCCAAAAACCAATCAGAGATTTCTGGGACATCCTTTCCATCCTAAAACCCCTTACTAATATATTACTTCCCATAACAGCCCATCTTCCTGAACCGCACGCTCAGCTACATGAAGGAGCGCATGTCGCGGAACAACAAAAAGCGGGCCAGCTTCCAGGTGAACTCCATGCTGGACAGCATTACCCAAAAATCGGAGGCGGTGAGCCAAAACTACCTGCACGTCATCTACGATTCGCTGCACGAAAAACTCCAAGCGAACGATTCTGGCGAGGATCTGCTGCAGGAGCAGCTGCTCTGCGAGGCGGGCGAATCGGTGAGCGTGGAGACGACGCTCTACAAGATTACGCGCAGCAAGCGAAAGGACAGCACCCTGGACTTCCAGGAGCTGCTCAGCAAGAGCTCGCAGATAGTGTACAATCCAAAGGATCGCGTGGGCGAGCATGCCACCATCAGCATTCCCCTGCAGACGATGCGACCGATGGGAGAGCAGCACACGCTGTACAAGCTGCTCTTTCGCATCAAAGTGCTGGCGGCACCGAGTACGTGCAACGATGAGAATGCAGGTATAGTTACTAGATTAGCTGCTCCCAGTTTGTCCACTTAATCCTATTTAATTCTCCCCTAGAAACTCCTCCCAGCAAACGATCGCGTCGCAACGAGAAAATGTTCGGCTCCGAGCTGATATTGTACGAAAAATCCAGCGGCTTTATCACCGAAGGCGAATACGAGGCCATGCTACAGCCGCTGAATTCCTCGAGCATCAAGTCCTTCTCACCAAAGAAATGCACCTGGGAAACGATGCCCGATAGCTACATTCCACTCTCGCTGACCTACGATGTTTACCAGCAGAGTCCCATGCTCAAGTTTCATTTGACGCTGTCCAATGAGCAACTGCCAGAGGTTATTTCGGCTCCGGAGCTGCAGCGTTATGTCCAGCATCTGGATGCGGTGGCCGAGATGAATCACAATAACAACAACTACAGCAACAACAATAACTGCAGTGGCCTGAAGAATGGCACCCTGTGCAAATCCACGCCCGAGCACATTCAGATCGTCTACAACTTTATGTACAGCAACAATACGCGCCAGCAGACGGAATACACGCAGGAGCTGAACTGTCCGTGGTGCGGACTGGACTGCCTGCGTCTCTATGCGCTGCTGAAGCACCTAAAGCTCTGCCACGCCCGCTTCAACTTCACCTACCAGCCGGCTGGCAGTGGAGCGCGCATCGATGTCACCATTAATGATGCCTACGATGGTTCGTACGCCGGGTCGCCTTATGATTTGGCTGGACCGTCGGGCTCCTCGTTCGCCCGCACCTGCGGCCCCGTGCGACGCACTTCGGTCACCAGCCTGATGGTCTGCCGGCCCAGGCGCCAGAAGACCTGCCTGGACGAGTTCCTGGAGCTGGACGAGGACGAGATCAGCAATCAGCGTTCGTACATCACGGGTCACAACCGGTGAGTGGGTTTTTTAAGGCAGTTTGAAGACTGGCAGGGATAGGAAATGCTTAGAAAATAGAGAATCTTCTTTAAAAAAGTTATATATAAATTAGAGCCCTGCATGAATATATTCAATGAATTATTTTGAATTTTTCGTTTTATATGAATGATTTAATTTGAATTTGGAGTTTAATATAATTGAATGAATGAATGGCATGAATTCCGAAATAATTCAAACGACAATTTCTTTAGAAGAAGAAAGGGCCATCATTTTGTGATTAAATCTACATGAATTTTATTTACTAAGCAGTTAACATTGATTTGTTAAAAAATGGCCACTTTTTGTTCTCAAAAGAAAACACAAAGAAAAAATTTGGCAAATTCAAAAAATTCATAAAAATTATTCATTTAATTCGAAATGAATTAGAAAAAAGTCAATTTATTGCACATATAATTCAATTCAATTAAACAAATCAGAAATTTCATGGCATACTATGATAAAACAAAAATTGAATGAATCACGCAGGGCTCTATTTGGAATTCCCTCTGTACATTATCTCAACCTTAAACTCCTTTATAAAAATTATAGAAAACTCTTATTCCGATAAACTTCCCTTGATATATGTAGTTTTTCCATTAAAAAGGATAAAAGAAAGAAAGCAGATAAGCTTCCAATTACAACCACAAATCAATAAAAACTTCTTATAATCCCCACAGACTCTATCACCACACGGAAACCTGCCTGCCAGTGCATCCCAAAGAGCTGGACATCGATTCCGAGGGCGAGAGCGATCCGCTGTGGCTGCGCCAGAAGACAATCCAGATGATCGACGAGTTCTCCGACGTCAACGAGGGCGAAAAGGAGCTGATGAAGCTGTGGAATCTGCACGTGATGCGTCACGGCTTCGTGGGCGACTGCCAGCTGCCGATTGCCTGCGAGATGTTCCTCGACGCCAAGGGCACCGAGATTGTGCGCAAGAATCTCTACCGCAACTTCATCCTGCACATGTGCTCGCTCTTCGACTACGGTCTGATTGCAGCGGAGACGGTCTACAAGACGGTGCAGAAGCTGCAGGGTCTGCTGAGCAAATATGCCGCCGGCCAGGAGCTGATGCAGCGCCAGCGCGAGGAGCAGTTGAAGTTCTGGCTGGACGTGGGCATGCACAAGAAGCAGGAGGATCCGAAGACTCTAAAGTCACCGCAGAAACCAGCTCCACCCGCAGACCAGCATCCATCTACCTCCTCGGCCTCCGCATCCTCGGACCGCAGTGGTGCGGTGATGCAGCCACCCAAGCGAATGCCGGCTCATCTCAAACGAGGCGGTGCATCGGCTGCCTCGGGAAATGGGGGAAAGACAACGGAGAATGGCAGCAACGGCGGCAGCAGCAGTAACAGCAAGAATGTAGCCAAGAAGAGCGCCGACCAGCCGCTAAGCACCCTGGCCAACACAAGGGAGCGACGCTCCGATCCTGGCCAGAAACGCAAATCCAGCGGAACGCAGCCAGCGGCAACAGCCGCGTCGAAGCGCAAGCTGGGCACCAAAGGTGAGTGTCGCTTTCTTTAGTTTTTAGGATCACTACCGAGCATTCCAGTCTCATCTCCATCGTAGTCATTCGTTGGGACACAGTCATGGCTTTTGAGGTTTCATGCTGTAACCTGAGTGGATAGTTTCTGGGAAAAATGCAAACAAAGAGATGTAGTAAATGTGAGAGAGGAAGATTTGAATAGAATTTTAGCTGACAAACGTAATTGGAATGTGATTTTGTTACAACCAATGTATGAACATCCCAATAATGTTTCTTAAAATATTTCATTTCTATTTTTAAATCTATTTCTAAATTTTACTTACTAAATATTCAATTAACAACAATTTGACAGAACTAGAAAAATAAATGGGAATTGTTTGCATTTATAGTAAGTTCAGGTATTAAATCTTGAAAAATATCGTCAGTTTGATATTTCTCGATATTTAAAAACATCAAAATATCAAAAATATCGATAATTTTCAAGCTCTACCGATAGTTAAAACGGGATTTTTCCCTTTAAAACATACATATTATCGAATCAAGAATATCAAAATATCGGAAATATCGATAATTTTCAAGCTCTACCAGGTATCATAATTAATTTCCTAACCACAGCAGTAGAAATCAAAATTAATACAAAATCCACTTGCACCTCTGTAGTAAAATAAACCTAAACTAATCGTTAACCACATATCAAGGAAGAGGAATTCGTACATGCATCTTCATATGTACATACAATACTAAACATCAAACCATCGTCATGAGTTCACACTGAAAGCCACCGAGCAGAGGCAAAATTCTGAAAATTCTATCAAAATTTATATATCCTTTGGACTTTTTTTCTTTGGAACCGTTTTTCCTTTGGACTTTAACACTCAATTCCTCCTCCTCTCAATGTGAACAGATGTGGAGCAGGCGGCGGATGTGCCAGAAGTGGTGGCCCACAGCGATAATGCTGTCGATGTTGGTATTATTGAAGATGGTGAAGATGAAGTTAGAAACGTGGCCGTTAATGGCATTGCGAACCCAGTTGACGACAATTGTGTGGGCAATTAATTAAGTAGTAACTTGCATTTAAGCACCTATTTGATTCTCGTTAATTGTATATATTCTGGATCCTTGTATAGATAATGTAGTGCTAACCAAGCGGCAGCGCAACAGCAACGATGGAAGTGCCGGGAGCGCAGGAACCGGAAATGGAAATGCAGCCAGCCGCAACAAAAGCAATAACCATACACTGCCAGCAACCAGTAGCAACAGCAACAGCAGCAAGCGACCAATCGCCCGACGACGCTCCACATCGGAGAGAAGCAAGCCAGCGGGAGGAGGAGGAGGAGCAGCTGGCGTCCGCACCAGGCTATCGGTGCCGTCGAAATACGAGAGGCGCTGACGCAGGCGCCGCCGCTGCTGCTGCTGTTGCTCCTCCGCCAGCTCCACCACCACCACCACCTCCTCCTCATTCATCGCCGCTTAGTTTTTGTTTATTACTTGTAAACGCGACGCCAGGCCAGGCGATTTTTTACAAACCCCCTATCTTTATTGCTATTTTCTATTATGTTGTGTTATATTTTAGTCGATCTATGATGTTGGACATTTGTAAAAAATTTGTGTCGGATTTCAGAACTCAAATTGACCTCAAAATAATCGTTCTTTTGTTTTTTTATTACTACCGACTCTCTCTAAGCCACTTTAGTTGTACACCAAAATCGTAACCTGAAATCAAATATATTTAACTCTAATTTGCCAGTTACTTAATAATAAAGAATAAATATACAGGGCTTTTGGAAGATAATGATTTGAATTATCTTGATTCACACTTTACACTTCTGGTTCGGTCATGTAAATTCATTCACCTTTTGTGGCGAAACAAAGAGAAAATTTGATCATATGTAATTAGTGCAGAGTGTATACATATAAATATATATATATTTACGGCAATAAGCAAATCTAAATCACTAGAGCCTAACACCTACATTTAAACATGCGTGCATAAATAAAATAAATTCACTTCAAACACCCACACAAAATAACTTTGCTAAAAGCCACTGAATAAAGTATGCATATATATTTTTACAATGCATTTAAATGGTCTTGAATTGTTTAATTTAAATATTATTAAAGGTATGATAGTAAACTCCTCAAAAACACTACTGCCCTTTTTGAAATTGTTATTACAACTTTTCAATACAAATTAGAGCCCTGCGTGAATCATTCAATTTTTGTTTTATCATAGTATGCCATGAAATTTCTAATTTGTTTAATTCCATTCTATGTGAAATAAATTCAATGTTTTTCTAACATTTATTTCGAATTGAATGAACATTTTTTATGAATTTTTTTAATTTGCCAGATTTGTTTGTGCTTTCTTTTGAGAACAAGAAGTGGAAAATTTTTAACAAATCAATGTTAACTGCATAGTAAATAAAATTCAGGCAGATTTAATCACAAAAGTATGGCCCTTTCTTCTTCATTCATTCAATACTATTAAACTCAAAATTCAAATCCATTCAATTCTATTAAACTCAAAATTCGAATTAATTCGAATGCCCATTCATGCAGGGCTCTAATATCCATACAAAATCTTAAAATCACATTTCCAATAACTTATCAACACAGACGGCAGTCATAAAAGTACAATCTTTTCTTTTTTATTTTTTATAAGTAGAATATATTTCGTATTAATGACATTTGAATCAACTGCCAAAATGAGGGGAACAAATATTTATGGGGAGTTAGTTACTTGAACTTCAGTTTCTCGCACGACCTTAAACGTAAAAGTTAAATGTTTGAATGCACTTTTTTTTCTATTTGACAAAGTTGGGGTTCTTTTTCAGTATGACGAATCCCTCCATGACCGGCGTGAGGGCCAGATACTCATCGGTGGCCAGCTCGGCGCGCTCGCCGATGGCCAGCAGGACGGGCGTGGTGTGGGTCTGGAAGCCGGTGATGGTCTTCGGCTTGCCCGCCTGCCCCACAACATCGATGGCAATGCCCACGCGAACGGGCACCTGCAGCTGGTTGAGCTCCTCGTCGAAGGTGATCAGCATGCGGGCCTGCATGGCGGGCACCAAAGTGTAGAGCAGATAGTGCGATCGGTTCAGGATCAGGTTCTTAACATCCAGCAGCGAGACCAGCGTGGCCATCAGTCCAGCGACGGCCATGGGATTCATCAGCTGGCGATCGCTGTGATACGGACTCAGCGATAGAGTGCCCTTGCCCAAATGCGTCAGACTCTGGGCGATGCGCACCATAAACAGGTTGCTGGGATCCTTCGAATGATACTGCGCCAACTGACGCAGCATGGAGGCCAAACGTGCGTTATTCGTGCCGGCTCCCACCAAACCCATGGCGAAGATCGCATTGTGGGCCACCTCGGCGTCGCTGTCGTGCGAGAACTTGCTCAGCGTGTCGATGATGTTCAGCTTCGGGTTGGAGGCGGATATCAGGCCCAAGGCCAGGGGCACAGCACGCCGGATGGCGGGCTCGCAATAGCGCAGCAGGTTGCCGAAGGAGCGGTAGGCCATTTCGGCGCCAATGTCCTCGCCCATGGCGATCAGGGCAATGCCCAGCACGGCAATCGATTGGGTGGCCGACAGGTCCTTCTCGCGCTCCTTTTCCTTCTCTTTCTCCTTCTCCTTGTCCTAAAAATAAGAAAAGTTAATAGTTAATCAATTGTTTTAACACTTATCATGTCATTTGCAGATCATTTTTAATTACGTAATATTTTGACATTTTTTTTTCTATCCTTCCCTATGGCAGCTATATAATATAGTCGTCCGATTTTTGTTAAATTTAATTCAAAATTCGGAAATATTAAAAAAAAACATATCCTAAAGTAGAAGAGAATACAATAAAATCCAACGGAGCTATAATTTGTTTCCAATTAATTTCCCATTAATTTTTTGATCTTTCCTATGGCAGCTATATGATATAGTCGTCCGATTTTGTTAAAGTTAAAATTGAAATTCGGAAATAATTAAAAAGAGTAATATCCTAGAGTAAAAGAGAATGCAATAAAAACCAAAGAAGCTAAAATGTATTTCCTATTACTTTTCCATTCATTTTCCAATCGTTCCTATGGCAGCTTTATGCTATAGTCGTCCGTTGAAATTCAGAAATATTAAAAAAAAATATTCCCAAGAGTAGAAGGTAATATTTGAGAAAACACCGAAGCTAGAATTTTTTTACGTTTTTTTAAGAAGATAAGATATAGTTGTCCGATCCGGTCGGTTCGACTTATATACTACCTGCGATAGAAAGAAGACTTTTGGGAAAGTTTCAAGCGGATAGCTTAAAAACTGAGAGACTAGTTTGCTTTGAAACGGACAGACGGTCGGACGGACATACGGACATGGCTAGATCAACATCTCCTTCACTGCGTTGCAAACTTCTGAGTGAAATCATAATACCCTCTGCAAGGGTATAAAAATAGTACATTACCTTGTCCTTGCCCTTGTCCTTCTTGCTCTTCTCCTTCTCGTCATCCGCGCTGGCCGTTTCGTAGTGATCCGAGCAGATGTGCAGCAGCTGCTGGATCTTCAGCACGTTCCCAGTGCCAGCATATGCGCAAATGTCCACCATGGTGGTGGCCATGCTGCGGTGCGGCTCCTCCAGGACCTCCAGGGTCATCATGACGGCCTCGGTGGACTTCTGACGGCCTAAATAAAGCAGACCCAGTCCCAGGAACAGGAACCTGGTGTAGGTGTCCTTTAGATCCGACTTGGTCAGACCCATGATGGTCTGCAGCAGGATCTCGGTGATTTCCGCGTTGCAGGAACCAACACTAATGAGACCCAAAGACAACGCCGTGATGCCCAGGATCTCGACGCTGGCGGAACTCTTGTTGTTGCTGCCAAACGAGAAGACCGTCTTCAGAGTGTCGATCACAATGGAGCGATTAGAACCCGCGTAGGCGATGCCCAGGCCCAGAATGGCGCCCACGCGCATGCAAGAGTTCTGGTTATCAATATAGTCGGAGAGCAGCGCGTGGGCGGGATCCACCTCGTTGCGAATGCCGCAATTGACGATGCCGCAGGCCAGCAGGGCGCCCGATTTAATATTATCATCCGTAGAGTACAAGTACTTGTCGATCATGGTCAGACCGCCGTCCACGTCCCACAGCAGGATCAAACCCAGCGAGGCGGTGGCCGAGAGCATGCCGTGCTCCTTGTTCTTGTACAGCCACTTGTTGCCATCCTCCGACAGCAGCTTGTCCACTCCAAAGCCGGCATTCACGAAGCCATTCACAAAGCTGGCGGCCAGATTCTGCTTGGCCGAGTCCACCTGAATGGAGGCGAAGCGCGATCGCGAGTTGTCCAGATGGGATTTGTAAATATCCTCCGGCGTCTTCGGTTCCATGATGTCCAGTTCGCGGGCAAGATTAAGGAAATGCTTGTTCAGATTAGCATTCGACATGATCTCCATGAGATCATCGTAATCCGGCACCGATTCGTCCAGTTCCAGGCAGATCTGTTGGCGGGCCAGCATGAAGGCCAGCTGCTTCTGCATGGCCGGCTCCTTGGGCTCCCTGAAGATCTCGCCGATCTTGTCCATGTCATTGAGCATCAGCGCCAATCGCATGGCCTGCGTGTGCTGCGTAAATTTGCGCGACAACTGAAGCGCCGTCTCCAAAATGATAGTATTATCCGGCTCCGGAACATAGGGATAGCAGGACTGCAAATAGAGGCAGACGCGCGGATAGGCGGACTCATCCACATAGTCGCCCAGCAGGTGCAGATGATCGATTTCGATCAGCAGATCGCAGGCATCCGCCTCCGCATTGTGCTCCATATTGTAGGGGATAATCTGCTTGACCAGCTCGATGAGCTGCACCCGAAAATCGCCGGTGGTGTCGTGATAGTGGGCGGATATCTCGCCGGACAGATGGCGGACATACTCGTGGCCCCAGTCCCCGATGCGCTGCTTGCGATCGCAGAGGAAGCGATAGGCCAGGCAATCCTTCCCACTGCCCATGGTCATCGAGAGCACCGAGATGATGTCGGCGCACAGCTGGCGGGCCTGCTCGTCGGGCATGTGCTTGTACACCGTCTTCATGGTGTCGTAGTGCGGGCGCATGAACTTGAGAGGCTTGGGCACCGAGGTCATCGACGTGGTGGAGGCCCGTATCAACTTGGCCATACTCTCCAGCGTCGGCTGATAGAGCTTGGCGTCGGGCTCCTGGAGATGCTGCACCAGCAGCTCCAGCTCCTCCTGCAGCTGCTGATCCTCGTCCGAGAGCTCCGGCTGCTCCTTGGCGTCCTTCTTGTCGCTCTTTTCGCCCTCCTTCTTCTCGTCCTTCTTGGCCTTCTCCTCCTTCGTCGCCGCCGGCAGCGGCTGCTTCTTCTCCTGCTTGGTCTCGCCCGTCATGATTGCGTTGCCTGCTTTTCCGACTTTTCCCACAACAAAATCTATTTGACTCTACTTTAATTTAGTTGGCAATGCAGTTCGGCGTTCACTTTTGTTCCTAGTTTTTCCTTGTTGAAATCAGCAGAATTACACAGCGCTTTTTGCGGGTGTGACCGGACGGCGAATGCCAAGATATACCGCGGAGGTCGGGTAAATATACTGAAATAGCTGATCTACATAACCAAGAACTGGTCACATTGTAGTAGTAAGGGTATTCGTACATTTTAAAAACACATACTTTAACATTCTAAAGTTTAAAATCTAAATTATTGAATTTTATTTGTTGTGGTTTTCCTTACATTTTATTTTTTTTTTAATTATCATACGGTACGTAAACTTAGGATAACATTTTTTAGTAGATTTTCTAACATTTTTCAATGATTTATTAAAGATAATCACAACATAGATATTACATTTAGTATACATTTTTCAACATAAAGTAACAAAAAACTGAAAATAAAGACACCCAAATAAAAACATTTAACTTCTTCTGCTTTAAGTTTGGATTGTAGCCCAGCGATGTGTTCCTTCTCCTCCTTTAAATCGGCATTATACTTCTGGACCTTTTTATCCATTTCAAAAAGTTTGGCGTCCTTCTCTTTAATTATACATGTAGATTTAGCATTTTTGAAATTCAATTCTTCAATCTTTTTTGTACACTCATTATACTGATTTAAAAGGTCGGTTGCGGTTTTATCTTTAATCAAAGCCTGTCTCTTGCCCAAATCGAGTGCTTTATCTCGCTCCAGGATTTGACTTTGCAACTGCTTTTCCTTCAAGTCTTTGCTTTGATTAGTTAAATCGATCGACAAGTGTAAAGTCTTGATTATTTCGTCCTTATAAGTGGATTTTTCCTTTTCACTTGCCAAATAAATTTCGGCAATCGTCAGCTTTGCTACGAGATCTTTTATTTCGGTGTCTTTCTTCCTAATAGTCTTTCTTAGTCCTTGCACGATTTTCCTTTGATCACCTGACGCACACGTCATATCTTCAATATCCGAATCGCTGCTGAACTGAAATAAAAGTTCTTAATGTTTATGTTTAACTACATACTCGTATGTGTAATGTTACTCACTGAAGTGTATTCAGTGGCTGAGTCTCCACTTGATCCTCCAGGTTCATTCGTGATATTGTTCAAGCTCTCGGGTCTCATGGCGATAAATTTAACAATGCCCATCCAAATCACACTTGAAAGATGACATTAAATTGAAAATAAAAAAAAAAGTTCCCCGAAATGTGCCCAGCTTTTATCCACATATGGATTTTTTAAGACAGTGAAATAATTAAGGGAATTCTTGATAAGTTTGAAGTATCTAATTGAGTTTTTTTTTTGTTTCACAAAAATCAATTATCTAATCACCGTTGTTTTAAAATTCAACAAGTACAACGAATGGTCTTTCCATTTATTGTCGAAGTATTTTTTTTAATCGATAAATTCAACAACATTTTTTCGGTGTTTTTTATACTGATTTATTGATTCTTTAACGTAACTTTTAATTTAACAATTTTTCGATTATTGGCGCACTTTAAAAAAATTATTCCCCGTTTCAGTGTGACCAAAGTTTTTATGCAATTCGCTCCTTCTCAGCTGCGTTTGTTGACAAAACAAAGTGAACAAAGTCAGCAAAGTAATTTCTATAAATGAGCGGGAGAATTAAACAATAATAATAATGAATTCAATGCAAGGAACTATTGCATTTGCGGTTGGATTTGTCGCTTGCTATGTGGCGCTTGAGGAGGAGAAAAAAATGGCCCGAATAAAGCAACTGCGCCGCAACAATCGGTTGAGACCATATTTAAAGGAAAGAGGTCCTAAAAACGTGGGTATTATTGTTGAGATTTAAAGATATAAGAAACTAAGAGCATCTTGTATTATTTTTACAGTTTAAAAACTTGTTGAAAAGTCCAACTTTGTTTTTTGACCGCTTTTACATGACAGAAAACCATTTCAATGCGCTCTTTGGATTGGTAGAGAAACACCTTGTCTTAAAGAGGAATTCAGATCCCCATGATATTCCCATACCTCCGAAAGTCGAATTGGGCATCGTATTACAGTAATATTATTCATTGTTACATATCTATGTATTTTATATAATTTACTTTATTAGATTCCTGGCCACAGGAGACTTAAATCGATATGCTGGCCATAAATATGGCATCGACACAGATGATTTAAGATCAATTGTGCAAAAAGTCTGCAATGGTATTTTGAAAGGATTGAAGGACGAATTCCCCAAGTGGACTACCGAAAATATGCTCAAATGGTCCAAGGAATTTGATGACAAGTTTCAGTTTCCCAATTGCCTGGGAGTTGTGGGCGGTAAGCATGTGGCTATAAAGAAACCAGCCAATAGTGAAGATCTGTTTCTTAATTATAAGGTATTTTACTTATCCATATAATTCCAGATCTTATTATACATAAAATCTTTGAATTTCAGGGCTTCCATTCAATTGTTATTGTGGCCATTTGCGATGCTTCCTATAGGTTTACCTATATAGATGCTGGTGATTTTGGAAGTGCAGGGGATCGGTATGCCTTCACCCACAGTGAGCTGGGAAAAGCCCTATTATCGGAAAATCTGCCCTTCCCGGAGGATAGCATTTTAAATGGAGAGAAAGTTCCTTATTTCATAGCCGGCGGTGAAGCATTTCCCCTGCACAATCATCTCATAAAGCCATATAGTGGCCAAAAACGCCTCGATGCGAAAGAGGAATTCTTTAATTCTAAACTAAGCGAGATTCTTCGTTGCATAGAGAATGCATTTGCTATAATGAGCGCCAGGTGGATGGCTTTCCATCGTCCTTTGCCCGACGATCCAATTGAAGCTCAAAAGATTATCGCCGCTTGTTGTTTCCTCCATAATTTTCTAATGAGGGAAAGTCCCAAAACCTACTCGATAACCCCGGATTCTGTCATTCCGCCGAATACTACTATGACTGAATTGAAACCCTGCAGGCGAGGAAGACCTCTTGATATCTGCAAGGATTATCGTAATAACTTGAAGGAATATCTTAACATTAGTATGAAGAGTGAATAAAGATCTTGACTAAGGTTTGTATTTATTAAATAACAGCTTAACTCAACTTTGGATTCTTAAAAACAAATGGAATATGACAGAAATTAAAAAATTAAATTAATTTAACAGTAAAAAAACCTGAGAACATTTCTTTTACAAAATAAAAATTATTTTCTACCCACATAATCTAAATGCATGGACTTATTAGGAGTATTAATCAATATCTACTTTTTTAAAGCCGCCTGTTCGGCCCACAAAAGTTTAGTCATCTTTTGTTCAACCACATCCGCGATCTCTGGCGGCATTTTACTAAGAAGCGACTCCCAGTAGTCGAAAATAGGTCTCTTCGTAACATTCGGATTTTGGTGCTGATTCTGGAGGAGTTTACTTAATATATCGCACATTTTTTGACCAGGAGTTGGAGATTGTGATGGTGACGATGACGCTGGCGATGGAGGATCATATCTCCTTTTTTTGGAAGGCCAATTTGTGTCCTGTGATTCATGAAATTCTAGATTATTTTGTATAACTAATGGGAAGTGAAGTCTTACATTAAAGTTGTCGCTTAAATCATTGTCAGATAAACCGTTGTTTAATTCGTTTTCTACTTCTTCTAGGATACTGTCTTCTTCATCGGAACCCGATAACTTGGAGTCCAAGAAATCCTTTTGATGCGAGTACTTTGGTTCCTGATCTTGATTCTGATCCTTTGAGGCCTCTTCCTTAGTAAACGTAGAACTCTTTATCCTGTATGAAAACCGATTAATCGAAATAAATATAAAAAAAAATTCTAAATTCCAAAGAACATCCTACCGCTGTGATGTGGTTAGGTTCGGCAAAAAGGCCATGTTTTCCGCAAATTTCCAATTCACAGAGGAATTTTCTTCCGAATTTTCACCTTTTTCCTGTTTTAAGTTGCGAAAATACTTATAGCTGTCCCTCAATGACTTCCAGGCAGCCTTGCAGCTCTTCACTGCAAATAAATAAACATTAAATATTATTAAATTAAAAGTACCTTAAAGGGACATAATTATAATAATTGTACCTCACCATCTCTATTTATTTCGACAGCAACTTTATCCCAAGCCTGGTTTAACAGTGGTCCGTGAAAGTGTTTCTTGTGGTTCGTATCCCACAGGATCGGTTTAATCTGCACCGCGTGGATTAGCATAACTTTATCCTCCGCTTTAAATGCCTGCAAGCGGCTTCTTCGCGTTCTTTTGTTAGCCCCATTCATTTTTCGTGTGCTGCCTGTCGAAATACTGTTTATTTCGCTTGGCAGAATAGGGCTGGCATAAAAAGACTATCGATATATCGATAAGGCCTGTTCAGACATATCCTGCATCAGCTGCGCAACAGTGTTTTTCGCAACAACGTCTTTATTTTAACAAAATTTATAATACAAATTAAAGAAAAACAAAGTGGATTTTTAATAAAATTACAAAGCTTTACATATTGCATCCTAATTTTATTTTGTAAATCCCAAGTGAAACATAGCTTATCGCCGCTCATACTAAATTATATATCTAAAATAAAAATAATCATTACAAATTGTATAAAACATAAATGGTTATATGTTATTTGCTTCGATTTGAACTTTATACCTAAACATGATACATACAAGAATATTTATGTACATATAGCATTACTTTGTCATATGGCAGTGGTTGATATTTTGACTATACATTCCAGTAGAGTGTGTTTTTATATATTTCAGGAGCCGTAGCCAGAGGCAGCAGAAAGATCCAACCGACAAAACCAGCCACGTAGAGGACAATGGCCACCACTCGTCGCAATAGATCCTGCTGCCACAGATCCTGCAGATCCGGCAGACCCATGTGATTGCAGAAGGCGTGCACCAAAATGGGAGCCACCACATGACCCGTTCGGGCGAACAGAAAGGCGGAATAGAATCCAAACAACGTGGTGTAGATGAACTGGAACAGTCCAATCAGCAGGGCAGTGCTCAGCTCCACGCCCAGACTCAAACGCTCTGCAATGTGATGCAAATGGGCGACGCCAAAGAAGAGCGGCGTTATGAAGACGGCGGCGAGCGGTGAGAAGCTCTGCAGGATCAGGGGCATCATGCAGGCGCGGAAGACAAACTCCTCGCTCAACGGAGCCATCACATGGTTGCGCACCCAGATGATGCTGCCAAAGGAACCGCGCCAGTAATCCAGATCTAAAAATGTAAATATTAGAATTAGATATAGATTCCTATGGGTTATTATTAGGAGCATGATATACCAAAGTAGGAGCGTATGGACTCGTTCTGCATGTTGACAAAGATGGGTCCCAGGAAGAGTAGCACCGTCAGTCCATAGGGAATCACCACAGCCTGCCACAATCCCTCCAGGCGAAAACCCAACAGTTTGGCGAATGGTTCCCTGCCCAGGAGTTCCGGCGATGAGAAGAAGTAAACAAAGGCGGGGGCCACCACCATCACCATGGAAACGCTGGCAAATCTTCTCTTAATCGTCGTCGGATGATCCCGGTTGTGTTTGGTGCTCCAAATGTACAGGCTTCCCACGTAGAGAACGGCCAGAACGAAGCAGCAGGTCACCGAGGTGACCACCGGGATTTGGGGCAGGCGTTCGAGAATCACATTTTCCTTATCCATTGTAACTCCAACTTCGATCTCACTCTGGTTTTCCATTCAATTTAGGTTATTCGTCATTCTTCGCTGACCATTTGGATGAGCCGAAAAAAAGTACACAAAAAACAGCTGTTTGCAGAAAAGTGACCGTATATATATATAAATTCTAAACAAGATTCGGTATTTTTTTATGATCTTAAAAATTAGGAAAATTTAAAAAATAATCTGTAAGTTTAAATTTAAAACTTACTTTAAAATATTAGAAGTTACTTTTATAATTTCTAAATTTTTTTTGGATAGTTGGTAAAATGAATTAACCGGCAAGGCTACACAACTTTAATTACTTTTTTTTATAACATTTTTACATATTTTATTGAGTTTAAAAAAAGTCATAATTTAAATTTAAATAAAAACCGTTTTATTTTATGGTACATTTTAATCACATCATTTGAATTCACCACACCTGGTCACCCTAATTTGTGATAACATCGTGCTGCGGCGGCGACTTTTGGTTGTGTTTTTAAACAATAAACTGGGCCGGTTATAAAAATAAATCCATAAAAATTGTGCAAAAATAGCCAGTTACCAGCGAGGAGCAGCCAAGATGTCGTTTCTACTGAAAGCAGCCGCCACAGCCCGTCAAATCGTTCATAAGGTTTCCCGTTCATATGTTCCTCCCACTCTTCACTTCAAAGAGAACTGAAGTTGACCTTTGTCTTGGCTTTGTTTATCTTTCGACGAATAGGTTCCCGTGCGCCACCTGAATCTCCTGGAGTTCCAGAGCAAGGATCTCCTCCAGAAGTACGGAGTGGCCATCCAGCAGTTCAAGGTTTTGGATAACTCCAAGGCCGATGCGGAGGTGGTCAAGACTTTTGGTAGGTAGACAATGCCATGCCGGTGTTTATGTAATCTCTGGGCTAATTGATGTTAAATGCGTTTTCAGAGTGCCCCGAATATGTGGTGAAGGCGCAGATTCTGGCCGGTGGGCGTGGCAAGGGGACGTTCGACAGCGGTTTCAAAGGCGGCGTGCATATCACCTCAAAGTAAGATAAAAATTGGGATGTTCTGGTTTTCACAATCACTAAAAAAATAGCAATTCCCAAGACTTAAAAATTTTCTATAGGAAAAATTTTATGTTAAAAAAGTTAAATGTATTAAAAAAAGGCTACAGTTTATTTTATTTCTAATTTATAAATTTTTTTTTCTAAAAATGTATTTTATATAAGCGTGTAGATTTTTTAATACTATGTTATTCATTTAGAAAAATGGGCTTAGAAAAACTATAGTAAACTCATATTATGATAAAAATTGGCAAGTTTCTAAATTTAAAAAATTTCTATAGGAAAGTTTCAACGTTAAAAAGGTTATATGTATATTATTAAAAAAGTTACAATTTATTTTGTACAAAATTTATATATTTTTTTGCCCAAAAATCCCTTTTTATAAAAAATCTTTAAATATTCTCCATAAAGCGTGTAGATTTGTTGAATACTATGGTGATATTTTACCAAAAAGTCTTTGGAAAATCTATAAATGTTTAGTACAGACTCAATACATCACAAATCTAAATAAATCAAATGTTCTACAAAGAGTTAATTTCAATTAAAATATGTTTTGATAACAAACGAATTGATAAAAGTTTGTGAAACCCAGAATAGACCTTTAAAACCCGAGTGATAAGGCGAGCTAATATAATTGTACTTTCGGCAGCAAGAGCGAGGTGCTTTCGCTCACCCAGCAGATGATAGGCAACCGGCTGATAACGAAGCAAACGCCCAAATCGGGAATCCTGGTCAACAAGGTCATGGTGGCGCGCAGTATCAACATTACCCGGGAGACTTATCTCTGCATCTTGCTGGATCGCGAGCACAATGGACCCGTTTTGATTGCCTCTCCCGCCGGTGGCATGGATATCGAGGCTGTGGCCGAAGAAACGCCTGAGAAACTTAAGACTGTCCCGCTGAACATTGATAAGCCCATTCCGGAGGAGACCCTCGTGGAGGTGGCCAAGTTTCTGGAGTTCAAGGGAGACGCCATCAAACGTTGTGCCGATGAAATCCAAAAGCTCTACACTCTCTTCAAGGCAGTGGATGCCGTACAGATTGAGATCAATCCGCTGGCGGAGACGGACAAGGGCGAGGTGATCTCCGTGGATGCCAAGCTGAACTTCGATGATAATGCCCAGTTTCGGCAGAAGGACATCTTCTCCATGGACGTCACCGAGGAGGAGTCCGATCCCCGTGAGGTTGAGGCAGCCAAGTACAACCTTAATTACGTGGCCATGGATGGAAACATTGGTTGCCTGGTGAATGGCGCCGGTTTGGCCATGGCCACCATGGACATCATCAAACTGAACGGTGGTGATCCCGCCAATTTCCTGGATGTCGGCGGTGGCGTTAACGAGGATCAGGTGGCCAAGGCCTTTGAGATCCTCACCGCCGATCCGAAAGTCAAGGGAATTCTGGTCAACGTTTTTGGCGGCATTGTCAATTGCGCCACCATTGCCAATGGCATTGTGGCGGCCTCGAAGAAGTTGCAACTGAATGTTCCGCTGGTTGTGCGACTGGAGGGCACTAATGTAAACCAGGCTCGCGAGATCCTGAAGAATTCGGGCCTGCCCATTCAGACGGCCAGTGACTTGGATGATGCCGCCCTCAAGGCGGTGGCCGCCCTTAATTAGAACGATTTTTATCATGGAGAGAATGTCTTCCAGATTATCACGACGCACCTTAGCATTTACAACGGTTAGGCCTTTTAAATATATAAGTTTTTATGGAAAATATAACCAGAATATGTTATATTTTAAAGAGAGGATTGTTTTTAAATCGGGTTTTAATAATATGAAACGGTTTTAACACAGTTTTTAAAAAATATTTGAAATTCCTGCTTACCAAAGTGGCGCCCTCGTGTGGGTATTATAAGAACTCTGTTACAGAGCTCGGCTCAGCTTGTTTTAAAATCAGGTTTCAAGAATATAAAAAGGAATTTGTACAGATTTTAAAAAAATTTTCAAAATTATAATTCCTTGTTACCGATGTGGCGCCCTCTTGCGTATATTAAACGAACCCTGTTACAGAGCTCGGCTCTGTTAAGCTCAACCCTGATAGTTATCGATAGGCAGCTTGAGCTACTGTTGATCGATGTTTCTGCCACCTCTAGTCCAGTCCACACCCAAACAGCCACCAGCCAAACAAACATTTCCCGAGGAAACCAGCGGAATTCCAATTGAATTTCCCAGCCAAGGATGCAAAAATCATCCCACTTTGCACGCGAGGATTCCCAGGAGCACCTGCCCACCAGCCACACCCAGAACGCGCACACGGTGAACATGAAGCGACGCACTTTATCCGGAAGCTGTGGCGTTGGCGTCTTCGTGTTTGCCTTTGCCTTGATTGTGATTGCATTTGCAACGCCCAGTTGGTTGGTCAGCGATTACCGCATCACGGGAGCCAAGCTGGATCGCCTGGGCCTGTGGGTGCACTGCTTCCGCTCGCTGCCGGATGTGAATGACGACAGCCTGCGCAGGTTCTTCGTGGGCTGCCGCTGGGTGTATGACCCATTTACCACGGGCTACGACGAGATTCGCGGCTTCCTGCTGCCCGCCTTCATGATAGCCACCCAGTTCTTCTACACGCTGGCCTTCATCGGCATGCTGCTCTCGGCCATTGGGGTGCTCATCTTCTTCCTTTGCGCTGGACCGGATCAGAAGCACTTTATCATGCTCATCCGATCGGTGGGCTATGTGCTTTTGGGCGCCGGAGTAAGTGCAGCCATTGCGGTGATTGTGTTCGCTGGGTTTGGCAACCGCAACGGCTGGATGCCGGAGCATGCGAACAACTGGTTCGGCTGGTCCTTCGTCGTCGCCTGTGTGGGCACCGTGCTGACCCTTGTGGCGGCCACTCTCTTCCTCAGCGAAGCGCACGTGCAGCACAAGAAGCGGATTCAGTTCAAGGAGTCGCAGACGCGGTTCGAACTGGTGCGCGGATAGTCGCGGGTGAGTACCTGACAATATCCAAGTCGAGGTCGGTGGGCTAACCTTCTTGCATTGTCTCTTTCAGTCGCAGCCACTGGCACACTTGCACCCAGCAAAAAAACTCCGAAACTTCATGCTAATTCAGAGGAAAACCAAACAAAAACATTCCGTCCCCACGAAGAATTCTCACCCAAAACATTACAGTCGAACTTCTCAGACGAAACTTCCTAAGACTATTTTCTGCAGTTTAACGTTTCTAGCAGTACATTTGTTTATTGACGAAGTTTAGCAACTAAATTTAATTTTTTTGTTTAATGTTTTATGTTTTAATACGTTTATTGTTTTTCATCTGCTAATCTATTGTTCATTGACGAAGTTTAGTAACTCAATTTTATTTTTTTGTTTAATGTTTTATGTTTTAATGTGTTTATTGTTTTCCATCTTCTAATCTCTGGACGTTTGTTATCTTCTAATAAGCTGATTAAGTATGCTGCCATATATTTTCACTACCAGCATACAGACAGCATACCAGCATAAAGAATGTTCAACCATTAAGAGATTATCGTCACCTAAATATCTTTCTTTTCACAAACTCACGAAGCCCTTGTATTTTTGGGTAGAGCTATATATCAGCCATGTATTAAATTGTAAACAGAAAGTATTTAACCAAAAAAATGGCAAAAGATTTAACCAAGTATTTTTTAGCCTTACCTAAAATTACACATTTCCCTCTTTAAAAAAAAATCTAAGGAAAGTTTTAATCAGAGAAGTTCGACTGTAAATATAGATTTTAGTTAAGAAAAAAGTTTATGCAATGACAGCCGCACCGCATCACAAGCTTTCAGTTCTTGGTACTTATTAATCATCCATCCAATTGACCAGATCAGTTCCAAACGAAGACTGAATGAAGACCACAACTAAGCACAGCTATGTAGCATCAAACTAAGACGCTCAACCAGATGACTCATGTTCATGTAGAGTATTCTACAGTATTTGCATATCAATTTTCGCTCAATTAACGCCCAGAGACAACCGCCAACCCCCCAACCCTCAGCAATTGTACCTACTTCCTATTTTTTTTTTTGCAAAGTCGCAGGCTAGTCGAAACTAGCAACGAAATATTACACTCGTGCCTTAATTAGAGAGAACTATTTTGGTATAGTTCATAGTGCCTAAAGACAAATTATTATTGTTAAATACCTGATCGACCGACCTGCGATGAACACAAGAAATCATTAAATTGCATAAACTTCAGCTAAGCTAGTGCCTTAGGTAAGTGTCCCAGAGAAAGCTAAGCGAATTCCGTCCATTAACTTTAAGCCATAAACATTCCCCTTTGTACTCGAATATTTCGCACAAGGTTACCTTCATTTAAAGGTAGTTTATAGGTCTGTATTAGTATTTGTCCATCTTTTGCACAAAATTTTTTATTTGTAACATACTCTAAAGCGAGAATTTAGCTGTGTATTAAATCAATACAAAATCTTTTATCCCCATATACAATAATATTTGTAACATCTTTTATGTACAAACGACTTTTAGCTAAAACGAAGAATAATAAAGTTTTTATTGTATACAACAGCTGAATGCATCTTTTGAGCGGGTTCAAGGCAGTTTGGGGTCCGAAATGCGATGAGAAACAATGAATCTCCTCCCAAGTCACTTTGGTGCATTCGTTTTCCCATGGCGTTTGCGTTGCGGGAAAACCGAACAAACTTTTTGTTGTCAGCTTTTGTAGCAGCTGGAGCTGAGGCAATGAGTCGGATATGCATCAGTTTACTGGTGTAACTATTGATATGCCAACGGATTGTGGGCTGCACCATGTGTCAACCCAGCGATTTCGAAGTTATCTCTTTGTGTCGGATTATTTGTTAACGATTGACGTAGCCTAATTTGGTCTTAATAAAATAAATATATGGATTTTTATTATGATTAATACGGTATTGTTAATAATTTTATGTGATTTTAGCTATTTAACTTCACAAATAATGCAGTAACTTGGATATGTGAATTCAAAAACTACAAATGATAAAAACAAGAATTTTTAATATAATTTTTTTAATACAACAAATTAAGAAATACAAATTAAAATTTTTTTGAAATTAATAAAAAAGTGGAAAAATAAAATTATAATTAATATTTAATCTACTTTGTTCTTATTTTAAATGCTAATTTTAACGTTATCAGATCATTAAAATTGGGTGTGTCATCAAAAACAGGAAGTATTAGCCAGCTCATAGATTCTGGGAATCATAATTTTTCATAAAAAATATTCAAATGAACTATAAATTGAATTAAAAAATCCCCGAGCTAAACGCAGCACAACAAAACTATTTAGAACGGTAACTGACATCTCTGAAATGTATTTATAAGAAATACTTATAGTTTATGAGAATAACAATAAAAAATTGAGAAGTAGGTATTTTGAATTAAATTGAATAATCGATCTTCGACAAAGGTGACTTTTAAATGTCTTGAGTTTACGACATACTTGATTAATGGTGCATTTAAAGCGCGTTGGAATAAAATAGTTAATCTGCGAAGACTAACGGCCTTTCGAACGTTCCAAAAACCCACAAAACTATTAGATCATTTTGTCAGCAATCTCTGATTTGAGTCACTCGGGCACTTAAAAAGTCTTTTAAATGGTAACCCATAACAAAATGAAATATATTAATTTGTCTGGCTTATAAAGGCATAATTAGTGAAGCAGGTGGTATGATATATCGATCAGAAAAAAAACCCCACCCACGATTTTCAGACCCGACTTGGCAATGACATTCAGGGAAGAGACGCGAGACAGAAAGAAAAATGGATCTTTTAAGCGATTGTGAGGACTTGCTGAAGCGTGAAATCTGCCCGAAGATAGTTCGCATTGATGGATGGATTAGCGTGCGCATTCGCTATAGATCTGATTAGCGCTAAAACGAAGTCGATTCAAACCGGATGCCCCATGACTCAAGACCCAAAGTCGAAATGGCCTTCGGTTGAGAAAACTGCACCGAAATATGTGCTAAACGCAAATTTATTTACGGTTTGTGTTATGGAACCTCCGCATCCACTTTTCGGTGACCTCACTTGCCGTTAAATCGGCTTACTTCACTCATTACACGGAACGGATTAAGAACTTTTGAAATAACACGGCTTAAACTGAAAAAACTGACTGTGTGTGAAAATTGTCGAGTTTTCGCCGCACGGTTTTTCTTATTCTCAGGGTTCTTCTGCTTTGCATTTCTGAATTTGATTGACGGACAGCTTCGAAATCCCCTTTGGGAGCAGATCGCTTATTACAAGTGATTTAAGCGACAGGGTAATTATAAAATGTTCATGGGAAATTAGCGGGCAAAATAATAATTATTTATAATGTGGCCAAAAGTATATGTTTTAACTAATTTATACATGTATTCATCGCAGATAAATTCAATATTAATTTAATACATTTTATTGAAAAAAGAAGAATCAAAAGAAAAAAGGAGAATAAATATTTGCTTAATTTGTTTAAAGAGGTTTCAAGATTTTCCATTTGCATAAAATGCTGCCATCACAACATACAGTAGAACATCATGATGAGAAGAACCAGAATCTAAAGTTAATTTTCGAGACTCGAGTCTTCGGCTTCATTAACAAAAGGCAATATACCTGTTCTTAGGCGCTGGCCAGAGATTAATTGCCATCGCTTTGGCCACAAAGAAACATTTTGCATAATATTTTCAATCAAATCGAGCGTCAATGAACGCTTATACACATTGAAATTATGAGTTGTCGGAGGTATTTATTTTGTTTTAGGGGGATAGTAGAAGAAAACCTCAAATCGAAACCGAGAGTTTGGGTTTGGGCCTGCGATTACGCAAAAGTCTCAAAAATAAACTGTTTATAATGAATAAGCGAAGCCATTAGATTGATTACTATTTGCCACACGCAAACTTTCCTCTAAAACCACTCTTTTTTGAAGTTTAGTTAGGTGCTTATGCTGCTGCTGGTCATCAATAAATATTGATTGAGTCCGTGAAGGTAGGGTTTGGGTTTAGTCTGGGCTCATTAAAACTTTATGGACATGTCGATTTTATTTTATTTCCGAAATAGAACGGCTTTTATGGCACTTTACACAAATTGGTCTGAAGCATTTAGAACGACTTCTGCTGGATTAACTTGTTCATCGGTTTTAAGAGCTTTTCTTTATGGTATTCCGATCTTGAATGTTGCTATTTTTAAATGGCAAAGAAAAAGAAAAAGGACTGTATGTAGAATCTTGATAAGTCTGCGAAACTTCTGCTGACGTGGGTAATTAATGAGGAATTTATTTGATTTCTTGTTTTGGGTATTTTGCAGTGTGTATCCTTAACGAGATTAGCATGCTTATAAATGTTTCATAAGACCTGCGATAGTGTGCAAAAAATAAAAAAGCAAGTTTGCATCATGAATATGCAATCGAAAAGTTGGAACATTTCTTTATGGAGTTGAATGAATCTGATTGTCTGGTTTGGTTTAAAAACGGGGTTCTTTGAAGCGAAACGAAAGCGGAAAGATAAAATAAAATAACTTGTATTTATATACGTTTAAACAAGGAATTAAAGGCTTGGCTTTAACAAAAAAAATCCCCACAACTTTAAGACTTTTAATTAATTCTTTAAATTCTCAACGAAAGTTCTTGGCCAAACGAAAGTAAATTTCTTTCTTTAGAAACTGAGAATTATGCTGATTTTTTCCTTTCCTTTGCTGCTGCCAACTTTCGTTGAAAGTAAAAGCATTTTTAAGCAGATTAGCATTTCTGAAGAATTTTCGTTTGCCGAGCTAGCAGCATGTAACGTATGTCCAAATCAATTCCCAGCTTGTCAGGTGAAATGTCATACCAAAAATAAACCATCTCCGCCTTATAGAGACCACCCGCAGAGCAAAGAATCGCCCCTTTTTTGACACCCCCCTATCTTACCTATAAGAATTGGAATAATATGATACGAGGCGTGCGTCAGCAAGTTCCTTGAACTTCACACAGTTTTTTATAACCCAAAATAGACGAACGTGGCAAGGCGTCTGAGACAGTTTGGTGGCTTTTAGTTTAACGCGATGCTTAGTTATTATAGAATATTATATCACACAGCATAACCAGTATCCTCTGGCTGGCCATAATTCTGTCGGCCCGCGAGATATTATCATTCAAATGA